CTGCCTGCTCGGCTGACATACCTGCCACTTGTTTGGCCAATATCTCATATGCTTGCTCTGCTGGGGTCCTTGGGTGGACTACGGTGGGACTGTCACCTTGCGGCTTTGCTTCACCAGTCCGAACGACCGGGAACTCGCACCACTGGCCATTCACATAGGTTCGGAGTTTGTCAGACTGAAAATACCACGCCACCTTGTGTTCTGTCAGCCAATCCAAACCCAAGACTAATTCATAGGGAACGGTTCCCACTAAAAGGTTCCCGAAAAAACGTGCATGTCGGCACCACATCGTCAATCCCGTCACAACCCGATCAATGCGTAGTTGTTCACTTGTAGCTACGGCAAACCTATGCTCTTCTGGAAGTCTCCGCACCTTCAGCTGCAGTCGTTCGACTGTTTTAGGACTAATGAAACTTCTCGAAGCCCCAGTGTCCAAGAGGGCCTCACAAGGACTCCCTGCGAGGTCAACGCGAAGTACCGCCGTCGCACCCGCACAACACAATGCTCCCCCTTGGTCGTGAGACTCTTTCGGAAAAGTCTCCCTCCACCAGTGTGGCACACTCTCTGTCGCGTCTGATCTATTGCCGTTCTCCGTTGTCTCTGCAGACTTCTGCTGCTATCCGTCGTCGCTTCCGGAGCCTCTTCACTCAGAATCGACGCCGACCCATACTCCCACCGCGTTTCCGAAAGCGGCTCAGTCCCTTCTGCGTGCCCATCGGTCGTATTAGTTCTTCTCGCAGTGCTGAGGAGTTGGCTTTCCGACTCAAGGGAGACTGGAATGGCATTAGGGCCTGCTGCTGCCGCACATATCATCCCTTTGCCATGGCTGTGCGGCCTAGAACGCTCGTCTCCAACCACGCCTAGGCCCGCATGTTTAACCGTTCTGTCTTCTCAGTACTAGGACGGGTGGGCTCCCTACTGCTCTTGCCCGCCGGCTCGGGCCGGCCTCGTTCATACGTAGGACAGTTCCGAACATAAGTTCCCACACCGCCACACTTCTTGCATATTTCCCCCGGACGTTTCGTACGTTCCCCTTTGCTGGGGCAGACACGTGCCGGATGTCCGCGACCCTGACACTCACAGCAGTTCGCGTGGGTTCCCCCAGGTCGATTTTAAATTTCCTGGCGCCCCTGGAGTCCATTAGCTTGGATAGCAGCCCTAATGGCTCGACTGGTCCTTTGTCCAAGTCCAGCATACTCTGCCTGGGCTCGTAGAGCCGTGTTGCGGCTGTCGCCACTTGTTCCCACGACTGACTTTCACCTGTCCGTTATTGGTTATTAGAAGGTGGAGGTCTGTCGGTAGCCCGGTGCAGTAATAGTCAGCGAGTTCGTCGGGGGCAACACCCAAACCACGCTCCGCTACAGCCGCAAACGGGTCCGTGTATTCCTTCGGGCTACCATTCCACCGTACTTTAGCCAACTCCGTTAACAATTGACTCTGCGACATTGTTTTGTCAAACTGCTCCAAAAGCCTGCGATGTACTGTCGCCTAGCCGCCTAGGTCGATAGTTCTCCGTAGATACATCCAATACGCTAGAGCCAGGCTCACGAGGTGGTCAATAAGTGCATTTCCCTCCTCGCGCGGTTCCAGTCCCATCTGGGTGTACCGGTGCTCGATGCGCAGCAGAAAGGCCTGCATAGTGCTGCCGTCTCCTGGTAGTATGGGAGTCGTTGCGCCGGATTCCACGGTCCCCTCTATAACAGTTCTTATCACACTCATAGCGGATTGGAATTGGTCGCACGTGACGAAGGGACTGTCCCGTGGCATAACATTGGTCATAGGTATCACCTGCGGGGGCGCCTCCTTATGCCCATGCAGCCGCTCTGCCACGGTGGACTTCGGAGTAGCATGGCGATGATGGGCCGGCGTCCCGCTCGGCATTTTGTTCACTGACATTGTAGAAGTCTCCTGCGGTGTGGGGCCGATAACGCGGCCGTTGCGGAGATGCATCCCTTACCGAGAGAAGAATTCTAGGCGTGAGTTATTAAAATATAGTATTTCTACTCCCAAGTCCGGAAAGAACTAAGATTTCAATCCCGGAACAGGCCCCAAATGTAGTGCACAGCGCCTACGCTGCTACCTGCCCCCTCGAGCAGGGCCTATGGTCGGCACCTAACGTTGGCCCATTTCCTTGAAACAGTAGCTTATATATATCGAAATACAGTTATTCTTAAGTTTCCAAAATCTGTTGTCGTTCAATTCGCCCCACTCGGGGTGCTCGCCTCCTAGGCCCTGTGTGGCCTTCACTGGTGCCGGCGCTATCGCCCCCAGTCTCCACGCATTTTCAGGCACCTCTAGTGTATGCATGTTAATTCGCAAACGAATTGCCTTACTTTGATCTTAGTAGGAGGGTCCTGTCCTCCTCCACTTGCGACGCCTTGTAGGTCGCTAGCTAGCTATCTTCTATAGGTCACCAGCAAGCCCGATTGTAGTGCCTGTGCACTACACCTACTGCTGCGACTACGCTGCTACCCGCCCCACGAGTAGGGGCATATGATAACCGTCTTCCTTCGGTGCGTCTCCTTGAAACAACAATCGACATATCACAAAATGTAGTTATTTCAAGTTTCTCAACATCTATTTTCTTGAAGATCCTCCCCACTCGGGGTTCTTTCCTCTTTGGCCCTGTGGGGAGGAGGCCTGCACCGGTGGCGGCGCTATCGCCAGCCCCAATCTCCAGGTATTCACAGACCATTCTAGTGTATACATGCTAATTTGCTGATAAATTGCCTTACTCCGATACTAGTAAAAGGGTCCTGTCCTAGTTCAGCGTTTTGACCTCCTGTAGGCCGCCAGCTAGCTATTTTCTTACGATCACCAGCAGACCCTATTGTATTGCCTGTGCACTACACGATCGGTTTCTGCAGTCAAGTCATGAACCCTACGCAGCAGAAGTACTCGATCTACAATCAAGAACTCTTGGCGTTGGTCAGGGCCCTGAGGAAGTGGTCTAACTTGCTCCTTGTTGCCACGGTTACGGCGTATACTGATCATCAAGCTTTCTGCCATCTCCAACTACTCCAAGCATCGAAGCCTCTGCGCGGACGCACTGCGCGGTGGTTAGACTTCCAAGCCGAGTTCCCGGATTTGCACATCACTTAGCGCCCAATCAGATGGCTGGTGCCTTGTCTCGCCGCCCAGGCCTTCCCAACACTTGCTCGCACGATACACCGCCAACATCACTGATGCTTGTAGTACAACAACCGCACCCGGCTCCTCGCTCTCGTGGTCGGCCTGAGAACTACAGGAAGCTCGCCGTCATTCGTTTGCGATGACCCAGACAACGCAACCTGCCATCCCCACCTCCACCTCCGCCACCGGAACCCATTCCAGAGTCGGAACACCCTATACCCAGAACGAAGACACACGCAGACCCTCCTGACCCCCACTCATTGCCGCAAGCTTACTAGGAGCGTCCTGTTTTCCGCGCCCACTAAAAAAGCCGCTGCGAAACAAGCAGGAGACGCCATTCAGATGGAGTCCCGCATTCGTCAATTCACCTTTCGCTCTGTGCCGCCCTACCTACACATTTGCATTCATGGACTATGGAGAATTTGCGTCCCACAATTCCCTGAGTTCTTCACACACGTTCTGCGTTGACATCATGACCATGTGACAGCCGGCCATCGAGTATAATTGTATTTGTGGACTCACCTGGATTCCCCGGCATTCCTACATGTTTAATATGTCTATTTATGTGTAGTAGAGTGCGTGAGTACTGACAGAGTATGGACTAGCCAGTATTGGGGACTAGCATACGCGCTCTGTTGAAGACTGGCACACTGGCGTTCTACAAAATAACTGTCCTGAAAAAGAATTTCTAATACGACTGCAAGTTGCGCCAGAATGGTAAATAGGCTGCTCAACTCGTATCAGTTGACTCGTCAAGACAGGAGCTGCTGCGACTGCAACCAATACTCGCATGGAAATTGACTGACTGACCTCCTACCATCCTGGTTCACTTAACTTCCGTTCCTTCTTTAATGTAATTCATCGAGCTTTTACGAAAATTCGAATTTTCAGCTCTCAAATCGTAGAGGTGTGTGCAGAATAAGCATTTTCAATTGTCTCTCGTCCTCGTAAGGCGTGCAAACCCCACTTAACAGTTGAATGTGAAACGGTTTCTACATACAGGAGCAGCATAAGAGATGCCGTCGATGTTCCCTTTGTGCCATGCCTTCCGGCTATGCCAGTCGTTGCTACTGTAGTGGTCATGTTACTCTTCGCCCGTGAGCGGAATGCTAAAACAGGTCTCCTTCTGTTTCGTCTGGTTTTTCCCTCTCTTGAAGTATTTTTCCCGTCCCGTTTCCCCTATTTCTTCCTCTATTCTTTTCTGTTTCGGTTCACACTTGTCTGAGCGTGTCCACTTGTAACTGTGTTTCACCCAATTCCACGCAGCAAGTTAACAGGGCGGAACAGTGTCGATGTTGTCACTGATCTGCACAAGGATCGATAGAAGCTGAAAACGGTGCTGCAGCAGCAACACAGGTTTAGACGCGAACAATGCAGGTAACAATTGATATATTCTACCAATTTTTGGATAGCTCGTCTGCTCTTGCCTTTTTGTCGCTTTAATCATTGGGCATGCTCTACCTGTGACCCGTGAGTAGCGTAGCTGTCTGCATGAAAACACAGTTACCTTTGTCCCTTTCTTTTCTTTTTCTACTTTATTCCTGAGCGCAGTTTGATTAGCTTCAGGCTCATAGGAGTCTCTGCTTTGGGAGACCCCATGGCATTCTCGATGCGCGTTGGTGGTCAAGACCGTCGCCACGCCCTGATTTGCACTGCGGTCGACATATAAGGAACAAAAAGTTATAGTTTGATGCCTTTCACGACGTTTATGGGCTCTTACAGAACTCCCTGTCGGTGGAAATATCTGCGCTCTTTCTGGAAAAAAGTTTACATGTTCGTGGGCTGCACTGTAAGGCGTCACAGACAGACTTCTTCGCCTCTCCTCATCACTGATAGACCCATATTGCATACCTTTTGATAACCTCTCAATGTTGGCTACAGTTTCTGCTCACAAAGAGCAGCGACAGCTGCGGGGTGACGCGCAGGACTACCGAGTTCTAGGTGACGATAAGACAACAGCATTTTCTCTTCCACATCTTAGCCTAGCGCATGGGCCTCTTCGGTCCACCACAGGTCATCCACAACGCCGCTTCCAAGATCGGCGCAGAAACTCATTGCCGCGGTTTCTAGCTGCTACGGCTTTAATCCTGTCCATTCTGGTCATTGGGGTCATCTGCAAAGCTGCCCGAGAGGTTCCGCAGAGGCAGCCAGGATCAACACCTCGCCGTCTGGCCTCTGGATGGCTACCAGACGAAAGTGCTGAACTTTGCCAGATAGCGGAACACTGCCTGGAGCTGGAAACAGATATGGGTATAGCTCAGCCATCGGCACAAGCCACTGCTGGCACAGAATCCGCATCAATGATAGAAAGCCTTGTGGCCATGTTGCAGGAAGCGGCAGAGGCCCACGAGCAGCAACGTACGGAAGAAACAAAGTGCGTAGAGAAGCCCGAAGGTGTGATGCATTCCTCGTCTGAGGGCGCGGCCAATCCAGCGCCTACTAGCCTAGGTCCTCATCTGCCCCAACTTGACGGCGACTCTTCTGCAAGGCCCGCTCTTATCCCGGCGCCTCCAGCAATATCTTCTGCAGGAGGAAATACCTCTGAGCGGAGCTATATAATTTACCATCTCCATGGAGGCCTGGGCGTGGTTTCACCGATCTCAGCTATCCAAGTTGAGGGAGCGTGCTCACATAGTGCTTTGCAGCAATTCCGTATATCATCTCCAAAAACGCATCCCTGTGCTGGTCATCCTTTTGTGCGTTTGCCGTCTGTGGAGTTTGGTGTCAAGCCACGACACTTGGTACCACAGCGTCTGTTCCTGCACCATCGCAGCAATCTATCGACCTTACCCTATATGAAGACTTTGCGGCAGCTACTGACCCGAAATTCGCTTGATCAAGCAGGAACTGAAACGTTTATGGACGCGTTGGAGAGGTTGATAGATATTGTGTGGACCCAGGCTCAGGGCAGGTCCCAGCAGAGGCGACCAGCTGTGGCCGTGTCCGTGCTGGGAAAGGATTTTCTCGCCATGGATTTCATCATTTCTGCCATACAATTGTTTGGAGAGGCCATGGAACTGTCCTCATGGTGGGAAAGGTTCGTTGGTGGCTTCCGAACAAATTATTACTTTCATGGGGGGGGTTCTGTCCGCCCCCGCGTCCGCAACTACAACACACAATTAGCGAACCGGCTGCTTTCCGCGATACGTATATATAAACAGGGACTTCGCCCATCATTAGAAGAAGTAATCGCGTTAAAGCGTATGCTTTTTTGTTCACCCTCGGCCCCCAAGCCATTCACAGAATACTCCTACGACGCCTGGAGACACGATGAAGAGATTTTCCAAAAGCAGCAGCTAAAGAGGCAACCTTTACAGAATATCGGCATCCATGCAGTTTTGGAGGGATCAACTCCTCCTGGAGAAGACATTGATAGTCATGCAGATAGGAGGCATGCACCGGGAGACGGACACACGCAAACAGAGCAACACATGGAGAATGAGGCAAAACAAGCAAGATAGGGACAAGCCTAGGCAGGGTGGGGTTGAAAGAGAGACGAAGATTAAAAAATAGGGACAGGGGTGGGAAAGTACACATGCAGGCAGAGAGGGCCGATGTGGGAATGAAGCACCAAAGTAAAACAGAAGAGTTGTGACAAAAGGGAGAAAACGGAGGCAGGTATTAACGGTGGCAGACAGGAAGAGGAACAGGTTTAGACGAAAAGAAGACACATAACCCAAGACAAACAGGAAACGTTCGCGTGAGTTTGTACAAGTTATCTGCCTTGATGTTCATCAAACAAAACTCTGTTAAACAAAAGCTTTGAAGCAATTCGTATGGGATGTAGTCGCTTCTGTTTTTAACATCTGAGCTAGCGAACTGATAGCCAAGGTTTGCGTGCCATGTTTTCAACAGGTGCTGACAATGCAGCGTGTAGCGTCGTTTCTCGCGTGTGTAATATTGCCCTTTCCCCATTTATTCCTTGCTTGCGTCATTGTCTGTGGCTGTCCGTACTTGCTGTCTCTAATTCCTTGAATTGATCGATTTATGTCTTCACTGACCTTGTTTTTTTCTATATCCAGGGAAGAGGGGCAGTGTGTCATTTCTCGTTCACATACTTCCATCTCTCATTTTTACTTTTGCCTTGGTTTTGCTTCATTTTCTGTGCTTGAGGTTCCACCTACTTTTTGGTTCTCGTGCCTCTATGGAGAGGAATGTGTTGGAAGTTGTCGTTTCCTTACCGGTTCAGCTTTCCGCATTCAGTTTTTCTGCATTATACTTTATGCCTTTCAACTTGTGTGCTCCCATTTGTGCTATCTCTGCTGCATAAGTTTTCGGTGCGTATATCCGCATACTTCATCTGCTTTTTCGTGACTTCTCCCTCACAGCAGAACATAAAATGTAACAAGCCTTCTATTGGTGCTTTTCCTCCTGTTGCTGCAGCAATTGGTGTTATTGTTGCTGACACCCACTGCGCCCTTGGTAATTGCGACTGCACGAAAACCGTTATTTCGGCCCACCAAATTAATTTACTTCTTACGAGTTGAAGAAACGAATGCGCCTCCTGAGTACCTCTCTTCCTGTCCCTCATTCAGCAAAGCAGTAAATAATGCGCCTTTAGCTGGTCCGGCCGCCGTTTCGGTTTTTGTTGCACTTGCCTCTCTTGCTGTGTTGATGTGGTTGGGGTTTTGACATATTACGCAGAATTGTTGCCGATAGAACAAAAGACGGAATGTTTTTTGCCCTGCTTAATTACTTTATCCATATGACTTTGAGAAGGATCCGATTTTCTGCCGGAACAGGGCCCTTCTTTGTTATCAACCCTCTATGTGACTCTTAGAGGAAGTGAACGTAGGCGCACGCCCGTGCATTTTGGTGCAAGGACCGAACCAACAGCCTCAAGAGTAAACATTACTAGATGAAACACATGCAGCAATTAGCCAAAGTGGAGTGTGCTCGTTGCTCGTGAGAAACACTACTTGTCCTGGACAGCGTCCATGCGCACACAGCAGAGGATTGCAAAGTTCGTCCGGCGGCCTCCCATGAGAATGAGTAGCCATGACTAGCTAGTGGAGCGCTGGCGTGCTCTTTCGGGCTCCCGAGTGTACAAAGTAGCAGAGCGCAAGCTCAGGAGGCCAAATACAGGCGTTTACGGTGGATGAACAGTGAAAGTAACCAGGCAGCTGCGTCTGCGCGGCACCCCTGATAGCACCATTCACATGAGGGGAAGCCTCCGCCTGTTCCTATCCTTCAATGCCTGTTGCTCTTTCAGCGTGTACATCTGCAGCCTTTCCTGTCTAGAATTATATCTACTCTTCAACTTTCACGTCCGTACAGCATCGTGCATTTTTTCTCGTCGTTGCGTGCATATCTATGTCTGGCTGTGCGTTCATGCTTGTATCTGTTCATCTCTCTCTGCGCATTTGTATCTCTATGTTTGTAAGTCTCCGTTCTTCACCAGAAAAAACGTCTTCCCCGCACTGCATATGTGTGTCTGGTTGATGAATGCGGCCGTCACTGCCCTTCCAGAAAAGCTTGGTCATCATTTCTCCAAGGATTGTATGGGCTGTCGGTGAATGGCTTGGGGGCTAAAGGGGAACAAAACAGCAATCGCTTTATTTCGATGACCTCAGGTAAAGGTGGGCGATTTCCTTGCTTATAGATGTCGATCACTCTAAGCAGCCGATTCGCTAGCTGTGTGTTGAAGTTACGGAGCCGGGGGCGGCGAAGGCCAGATCCCTTGAAACTGTAATTTGTCCTGAAGGCACTCGCAAATTTCTCCCACCACATATGCAGGCGCATCTCATCTCTGAATAGCTGTATGGCGCACACAATGAAATCCAGCGCCAGGAAGTCCCGCCCCAGTGCGGACACAGCCAAAGCTGGCCGAATCTGCCGGGCCCTGCAGCTCGTCTGGGTCCACGCAACATCTGCTAAATCTTCTATCGCATCCATAATGGCATCTGCGCTTCCTTTGTCAAGCGATCTTCGCAAAAACAGCTCTCTCAAAGTGCTGAAATAGGCATAGGCGGATACATTGGTGCGCTGGTGCAGAAAAAGCCGGGAGGGTCGAAGCTTTCGCGGCGAGACTCCAGCCTCCACAGACGGCAAACGCACAAAAGGATGCATAGGCAAGCGCCATGCTTCTAAAAAAACCATATCCAAGTAAAGGAACTGCTGCGTACCCAGAGATGGGCCGGTTAGCGAACTATCCGCCCTCGGTTCCATGCCCATCGCTCCGGTCGGTGTGGCAGTGTGCAGAAATCCGCTGTGTTCGCGCTGTAGAGAACCTTTAACATACTCACCTCCCTCTGCATGCGTCAGTGAATAAGGGAAACTCGAACTCCCGCCCTCATTGTCGGATAGATTTGCAAACGAACCGTTAAGCGCTGGATTGGCAGAGTCCTCAGAAGAGGGATACATAATAACTTGGGGCCCACTTAGACACTCCGTTCCTTCCGTACGTTGCTGCTCGTGGGCCTCTGCCGCTTCCTGCAACATGGCCACAAGGCTTTCTATCATTGATGCGGATTCTGCGCCAGCAGTGGCTTGTGCCGGTGGCTGAGCTATACCCATGTCTGCTTCCAGCTCCAGGCAGTGTTCCGCTATCTGGCAAAGTTCAGCACTTTCGTCTGGTAGCCAGCCAGAGGCCAGACGGCGAGGTGTTGATCCTGGCTGCCTCTGCGGAACCTCTCGGGCAGCTTTGCAGATGACCCCAATGACCAGAATGGACAGGATTAAAGCCGTAGCAGCTAGAAACCGCGGCAATGAGTTTCTGCGCCGATCTTGGAAGCGGCGTTGTGGATGACCTGAGGTGGACCGAAGAGGCCCATGTGCTAGGCTAAGATGTGGAAGAGAAAACACTGTTGTCTTATCATCACCTAGAACTCGGTAGTCCTGCGCGTCACCCCACTGCTGTCGCTGCTCCTTGTGAGCAGCAGTTGAAGCCACCATTGGGCTTTTAGGAAGCTAAATAAAAAGACTTCAGCAGCGGTGAGGGAAGAACAGTAAGCCTGTCTGTAACTGCGCACGCTGCAGCCCGACGACAGACACTTGTTAACTTTGAAAAAAAACGGCAGTGTTTCCGTAAACAGTGAGTGCCCCGTGAGTCCAGAAAGGTTGTGAACAGCATCAAAACGTAACTTATCTGGTATGTGTCGATCGCGTGGCAAATCAGCGCTCGGCGACGGTCTTGACCACGCCAGATGGGCGGAGGCGCATCAAGGATGTCATCAGGACGCCAAATAGAAACCCCCCAATGCAATGAGCTTGCAGATACCCCCAATTGACTCGAGAATCTGCTAAAAAATAAAAGCGATACGAAAAGAGACAGGTAAGTGTATGTTTATGCGGACCGTTCAGCTGCATTGAGGTAGCATCGCCATAGTGGGTGCTCCTAGAGCCCGAGGGCACAAAAAGGGACGAAATGAGACGTGAACGACACCAGCTGATATTTGCATTGTATGCCAAGCTAAGCTAAGACGCCGGCATCTCATCGAGCCTCTTCCGGCCCACTGTCGAGAGAGATCGTGGACACCGGACAGAGAAAGGCTCCGCTGATTTCGAACCAGTGCCCGAGTTTTGCCCCTCTACATGGTGCTTGTGGCTGGATCACGTGAGACTCAGTTCCGAAACGGACAAAATAAGACACATTTCATCCAAAACAAAGAAAAATCGGAGAAAGGCGTGAATTTAAAGCGACGACAAGACATAAGAAAAGCGCTGGAAAAACGAGACGAAACAGAAGGAGGTAAATTGTAGGCTTCTGCAGCGCTCATGAACGCTAAAACGTACTCATTGCTTGAGCAACTATAAAACAAGATAAAAGAGATCATCTGTGATTAGATTTAGAATATTTCTCGGTACAGAGGATTTGGTGCCCACATCAGTTTTTAGATTGCGGATCTTGGTGTAGTGAACAGTGCTCCCCGCTGCTATTATGTAACTTCCTTCGGCGAGGTGCACCTCTAACGAATTCTCTACGTTCCGCACATATCTCATGAAACAGCATCAAATAATAAATAACCAGTCATCCCTCAAGTCTGCCAACCACATAATCCAAAAATCATATTTCTGGGTCAGTGCCTCGTCGCAGTGCCGGCGTCACCGCCAGCGCCAGGTTTTGGATATCAGCAAACACTCCCAGTCTGCACATACTATCTCGCATATAAATTGCCTTGTTTCATTACTGGTAATAAGCTATCTGTGTTATTTGGGGATGCTAACCTCTAGAGGTCACCAGCAAGCTCTATTATATTATAATGCCTGCGCACTACTACAACTGGGTTGCTGAGGGGTTCGGTGCTACAGTGAGGCACGCACGTTGCTCTAAGAAACCTAATACGGCAGCCTGATCGCATCTACCCAACAGATGCACGGTATTAAAAAAGGAAAGATTTACCTTTTGCAGTGGCATCTAAACCGCGAATGCTCCAGTTGCAAGACCCACGGCTACGCACTAGTTCTAGAGTAGCATTGTCTTTGTGGAAGCTGTTTAATCAGATGTTGGAAACACAATCTGGCTCTTCGTTTCTACTTTCTAGAGTTTGTGACTATTCAAAATAGTGTGCGTTTGTCGTGTATTCAAGGAATGATGGTAATTTTGCATGTTGCAGGGAAATGCGCAAACTGTTGGATGGCTGGCGACACTAGGGGGCTTTCCTGAGTGCTGAACCCGCCATTAAAGGCATACTGCATATGTAGCGTGGCAAGTAGCAATCTTGGTAAATACTCCATTGCACTCGGGATCGTGAAATATTAAGTACAGTGCTGCATACTACACTCCAGCGCGAAAGCGGTCTTGGGACAACATACAAATCACAACTGGCAAGCCCAAGAAGCAAATCAGCTATATTGTTTGACAGAGATGAAGATGGCTAAACCATGCATGCTCTGATGAGAGACGCCGATTTGGATCTGCTATCGACACTGTAATGTTTAGGGAATCTGTGGATGCCGCAATGTCACAGTCAAAAACAAAACCCCTCCCTGCCCGGGTCTTTTGAAAGTATCTTTCTTCTCTCTAAGAATTTACGAGAGTTGCGCGTGGTATTGGGCGTATTTTTAGGACGTGTAAATAGCCACAGAATATGACAATATAGCGCTTTGCACTCGACAACTGACGGCTACTCTTGAGATATGTGAGCTGCCCCCCATACGCCACATAAGAATCCTACCTCACACTTGAAACACACCAGGAGGTCTCGCAAGAGTTATGCATCAGCATCCGTCGCCAACACGATAGCAGATGCTGGCTCAGTACTCAATGTGTGTGAAGGATGACTAGCTACGGAGAGGAAGCTGGACGCTGCTAGGTTACGCGCAGTGGAGAAGCCTTATTCTCTTAATCGGGGCAAAACATGGCGCGTCGCTTCCAGTTTTGAAAACCTTCTCTCTTGGAAGGAACTGTGTCATGACATACGGCATTCAGGATAAATATGACAGCTTCGGTACATGCTGCGACAGGGCTTCGTAACTGGCTTGCTCACACTTGGTGCGGGCCAAATTCAGCATTATAGTGGAGCGACGGAGCGCGTACGACGTGCTAGAGGGGTTATAAGTATTTCCAATATCCTACGGTTTTGTAGGATTGGGCGTACTATCACGCCCTTCAGTAGCTAGGTACCCTGAAGAGTGTCCACGAAACGCCATACAGGCCTCGCCACCAGTAGTAGCTCCAAAGAGGCTTATCTCATTCCACTTTACCGGGAGCAGAATATTAAGAACATTCAATGTCTGCCAGAAAAGCTTGGCTAGACATAGAAGACTTTGCTGTGTCTCGATGTTTCCTAAATATTTCCTTCCGTTATGGTCCTACGGGTCATGAATAGGAAATCTGAGGACTGAACGGACCGAACGCCGCATCGGCCAGGCCGCCGAAAGTGACATAGCGCCGCTAATAACCGTCGGAATTTCACTGAAAATATGTTTGGGGCTGGTTAAGGAGCCACCTGTTTTTCTGACTTCCTTGGGCCCACCTGTTGTCACCGAAGGCACCTCTTGGGCAAACACACCTGGTGTGTCTTGCCTGCAGGTCGTGCTCCATTTATTAAGGCAGACCCTCGATCTTGTGTGCCGGCTATAAAATGAGGGGAAATAAGACGTAAACGCGGCCGCTGCGGCCGCGTTTACGTTTTATTTTCCCTCGGCCTGTGTTTAAAAAAGTCCTAGCGGAGGAGGGGCAGGGTGCTTGGTGGCCTGGAACAGGGGCCACTTGAGCTCAACGAGAGGCTGTTATGCTGCCCTAGGCACTTACTAATGCCGTAAAGCATACTGTTGCCATTTTAGGGCGAAGCATTGCCATAATTGGACAGATCAGAAGAACGCCCGTTTCGTGGCCTGTAAAACTCCCATACTGTAGACCTGGCCCGGATGAAGAGAAGCGATATTTGAGTTAGTCCCTGTAATTGATTATAGAGTTTGTGAATAACAACTTAGACGAGTAATTGTGCTTTTGATGCTCGAAAATACGCATTCCTTGTCAAGTCGCGCTACTACACTCACAACTACACGCTCAGCTCAGCAAGAACGGGGCTCGAATACAACACACAAACATCCCTAAACGGTGGAATGACAGAGCCGTCGAAGCCCGCATCGAGATTGCTGCTTCATGGCATCCACAAACGTCCCTCCCACCTTTACCTACTGGAAAACCTATAAAACTGCCTGTCTAGTGTGCCTGCTAGCGCGAACCTATATATTAGTTCTTATGAATCCTAACAGTGTTGGATTCAGAGGTGTCTGTAGACTTCATAGCCGGCAGCCCAACGTCATGAGTACTTGAGATAGACCAATACACAATCTGCGTTCTTGACTCGATGTGTCTCCGCATGCCTTTTTGTTTGTCTCGTTCGCTTTCCTCTATATTATCCATTTGCTGTTTTGATTCTTACTCACTTCAGTTTGTTTCCGTCCCTTCCCTTCTTTGCGTTCTTGTGTCTCAGACCACGCTTCAACATTACTAGCGCCATCTGCCTGCCAATCTGTTGTCCTTATTTGCTTGTTTTTGCCGCATTGCGCCTTTCTGTGTTCACACAGGTCTGTATTTATCCACACTTGTTAGACTGTTTCCTTATGACGTGTTATTCGATGTCTTTACTTCCTTTTGCCTTTTTTCGTCTTTTCCTGCGCGAGTTTGTTTCCACTTGCCTCCGTTTGTGCGATCGCGCCGTTTCTTGTGACTACACCTCTTGGCTGATCTCATTTTCCTTTTTCCCGTATTTACCCCCTCCAGACTCTTCCCGTGTGCCTGCGATTCACTTTGTTTGCAAGTTTTTTCGCCTCTGCTCGTCGCCCAACGGTTCTTCTGCAATTTTTCGCTCGTGGGTTTTTGGTATCATTTTATGCTTTATTATGGACCTTCCTATTGCTTTTTCTCACCCCTTTCTCTATCCCTCCCCATTGTTATCAGGTTACTCGATCAAATGTTCTTCATTTTCCAATTTGTTCACTCTACTTCACCCCTGCATGCACCGGATATATGTGTTCAACGCCGTACATGCTTTATCTGTTTCTTCTTAGTTTCCCGCTTTTCGCGGCTCCCTTTACAGTGCCTAGTGGCATTCACTTCCCCCTTGTCTACTACTCTCTCCATTTCGTAGCGACAACACAATGATAGTAGTTCTACATTTCCTGCGGTTTCTGCTACCGCCGTCTTTTTCCCCTGAACACTTAAAACAAAAGACAAGACCGTTTTGTCCACTTTGTTGCCTCCTTGAAGACAGAAGTACACTGTGGGACAACCCACCTCCCACGACGAGCTGTACAGACACCTCGGCAAGTGAGCCGCAGCCTGGCCAGGGTCCCTGTTTGTTGCAGTTTTATTGAGCGCGACAAACAAATAAACCCGGAAATATGTACTTAGCATATATATATTATACATATGCATATACATATTACTCAAACACGCGCGAATGCATATGCAACCTGCCTGTCTTTGTCTCGTGTCTCTGTGTAGGCAAACAGTAACGACGTGGATGAAGATGCATGCGCATATATGAACTAGAAATAGCGCTATTATGTTTAATCAAAGATAGGGGTGATTTTTGCGAATTGTCTTCTCGAGTTTGCTGTAGGCCTCCTGCAGATCCTCTTCCTCCGCTTCGTTTGTTTCATCGTCATCTCTATTTTTGCCGCTGTTGGGAGGCGGCGGGGCTAGCATGATAACACTGGCTGGCCTCTTTGAATTGAAGGCGTGGCCTAGAGTCTTTTTCGGCCCCAGGTAAGCGTAGGCAATGTTCTTGTCTTCGCACAAAATAGGTATGTGTGCTGTTATCTCTACTGGGTAAACATCAGAAGCAATGAACACAAGGCCAGACTCTCCCTTTCTCAAGCTTTTAGTCACCTCGTGAACCCCTCTTCGCAGCAGCTTCAGAGACTTACGTTTAGTCCCGCTGCTGCCGCTGCTGGAGCTGCTGCCGCTACTGGAGCTGCTGCCGCTGCGGCTGCTGCGGCTCTGCCGCTCTGCTGCTGCTACTGAACGGATCAAACGCACAGAACGACGGTATGCCTTGCCCTCAAGCAGCGGCACCGCGCAGGGAGACACGTAGGCAGCAGCAACAGGAGCTGCTCCTGCTGAAGATTCTCCCTCCATTTCACAAGGCCCTTCTGTTGCTGCCGGTGCTGCGGTTGTTGTTGCAGCGGCAACTACTGTTGATTTTAAAATCAGAAAGCCTCAATCGATACTGAGAGGCCAGAGAAAAGAACAGCCAGCGAAGAGGGCCCCGCAACAACGGCAGCAGCAGCAGCTGCAGTGCGGGGAAGGCGTGTTCGCTTGCCCCAGAGGCCTTCCTGGGCACTCAGTGATTTGTGAGGCAAGTTAAAAACGAGAAGATGGCAGAAGGTAAAGAACATCAGCAAAAATAAGGCCTCTAGAGACACTGCCACCCGGCGTTTCAAGAGAGATGGTACACCACGTTCAGCTGCTGCTCCTGCTGCAGCCGCTACAGCCAGCCTGTTGCAGGTTCTCGACAGCATGCTGCGGTGAAAGCGCAGTTAAAGCTCAACAGCTACTAAAGCAGTCAAAATTAATGATAAAAAATAATTAATTAACTATAGTTTTTCGAGATCCACCTAGCGTTTGCCACTGTAGCCTTAGGTGCATGCGATACGAGGGGCCCCAGCACCAGTTGCACTTCGGGTGTAGATACACCCGGGCTCTCTCTAATAAAAGGCCCATCAGACCCCCACACATTCCCCTGAAGTGACCAGGGCCTCACGACTTGCACTCTATCCCGCAGCAAATCAGGCGTACACGCAGCAGCAGCAGCAGCGACAGCAGCAACGGCATCAGCAGCGCAAGCTGTCACTGCACAGGCTTCAGACGATCACGATTTTCTCTCTCGGTAGTGCCGCATCAGCGGAGACAGGGCTGCCCCAGTTGGTGCAGCAGCAGCAGCTCCTGCTGCTGCTGTTCCCTGATGGCGGCCTTCCACCAGGAACTTGTACTGAGACGGAGAGCGTCTGCCCGAGAAGCTCTTCTCAGGCAGCAGAAGCAGCAACTGCAGCAGCAGCAGCACAAGGGGCAAGACACAGTAGGCAGCGCCCAGTGTCCATCCAGCAGAGCCACGAGGGGCCCCTGGCCTGAGGCCTGGAGTCAGCGAACACAAGGCAGCCGAGAACAGTGAGAAAGGATAATAGGAAACAATAATAAAGAGGATTTTCTTGTTTTTCCTCTTGTTTCTGCAGCCTCTGAGCGGGGACTGCGTGCCTGTCATTTCCACCGATGCGCGTAAGCTGCAGGGGTTTAGGGTTCGGGGTTTAAGGTTTGGCGCGTGGCATCAGTAGCCCTAGGGTTTGTGGCTGAGGGTTTAGGGTTTGGCTTGTTCTTTTGCGCCGCAGTTGTGGAGCCAACATACAGAGACACCCGCACAGTAATATATATATGGGGCCGCCGTCTTGTACGGGAGGAAGCCGAGGGGGGGCCCTTGCAGGATCTGGGGGCCCCCAGTGGCAGTTCCCCCAGCAGCAGCGCGCCGGGGGCCCCATATGGGGGCCCCCCAGCTGCCTTTTCAAGAGGGACCTCTGGCGAGCCGTTTGTGGGTTCGTCTGGAGACCTTTCTGGGTCTTTTCCCCACTCCTACCTTAGCAGCAGCAGCAGCAGCAGCAGCAGCACCAGCTTGTGCCAGCCTGTGGTGCTCCGGTGTCTCTACGACACAAGGGTGACAGAGGTTGCTGCAGGAGAAACACATGCGCTGTTTTTATCTGACAAGGGGATTGTGCATGCGTACGGCACTGGGGTGTACGGACAGCTCGGCCTGGGGCCCGTTCTACTCACAGCCAAACAGCCACAAAAGATCCATGGACTAGGAGGGCCTGTAGTTCAAGTTGCTGCTGGGGAATACCATTCTGTGGCTCTTACAGAAGACGTAGGCCTGGATTGCGTTATTGTGGTTGTTTCTTTTCGCCTGTTTCTATCCCTTTCTTCTTCTTGTCCTGTTCTAGTTACCCTCCTTCTCCCATCATTTCAGGTTTCTTTGTGAGCTCTCTGCTTCTGTTTGCTCTTTCTTCTTTTTTCGTCTTTGCGTTTTCTTTGCTCATATTTGCCGCGCCTGGACGCCGCTGTTCCTTGGCTACGTCCTATCGCGTTTTCTGCCTTTCGCTTGCATTTGCACGTCGTCAGTTTCTGTTTAATCTAGAGCTGTTTGCTTCTTTTGTTCAAATAAAGATCTACTTTTCTTGTTTTTCTTTGATGCTCATATCCGCCTTCATGTGTTAATTCGCCTCTCAGAGTTTGTGTCTTGTTATCCGCTGTTTGTTTTATTTTTCATTTATCCCCAATGTGCATGAGGAGCGCATGCATTTGCGACTGCACACATATCTGTGCACCTCTCTGGGAGTTTCAATCGTTATAGCATTTATTATTACCAACTAATGGAACGGGACTTGAATGGACAAGTAAATGCAATGCTAGAGTGATGAATTTCTCTTTTTTTGCCTCTGTAGGGCTCGGTATACTCGTGGGGTGCTGGGGACTCTGTGGGCGACGGCAGCGGCAGCTGCGCATACAGCCCCAAGGAGCTGCTGCTGCTGGAGTCGCTGCAGGCCTCCCATTCTCCAGGTGTATGTACACCTGTTTGCCGCCGCATCGCTGCTGCCTACGGCCAGTCTCTGGCCCTCATGGCCGGGGGCCAGTTGCTCGGCTGGGGAAGGCTCTTGCATGCGCGTTTCTCGCTATTTCCCCGGCTCATATTTTTCTTCAATCACATGCAAAGAATCAACCAAATAGCCATCGGAGTAGCATTTGTACTAGCTCTCACAGGCAAGTAGGCGCGTTGTGCTGCTGCTACTGTTGCTGCTTGGTGCTGCTGCTGCTGATGGTTGTAGTTGTGGCGTTGCTGCTGCTTTGGCTGGGTTGGGGCGTATTGATGCAGCGGCACTGCTGTTGCTGTTGTAGGAGCTGTTGCTGCTGCTGCTGCGGGATATGCGTGGGACTGCGAGACATGTTAAGGGTTCGAGTATATGACATACACAGCTTTTCGCATACATTTCTGTACTGTCTAATAATATACATTCATATATACAGGAAAATGGTTTTTAGATGCACACTGGTTCGGTTGATTCATCGTTTTTGTTTATTCCTGGGTCTGCAGACAGAGGGCAGGTGTTGGCATGGGGCGACGGCACTTACGGGGAGCTAGGTGAGTCCATCGCCTCTAAGGTGTACATACACTGCGTCCCTTGCAGCAGCAGAAATTGCTGCTGCTGCTTCTGCCGTTGCTGCTGTATTTGCTATTTCTGGTGCTGGCCGTGGTGTACCCGCAGTGTCTGCTGAGCTCAGTTGCAGTTCCCCCTAAGGGTCACGTAAACCATTGATGAATCTTTGCCCCCTTCCTCCGGTCTACATTTACGTTGAAAAGCCTGACCCATACTTAACATATTTATCGCCACCTGACTTTCGAAGCATATATGGCTTTTCTCCTAGCTGCATATATACTAGCACACAAATAAAAACGTAAACGCTTTAATTTGGGATGTACGTACAGCTGGGAACCCGTTCGACATCGCCTCTTCTGCTTTTACCCCCTTGACCCTTAAAGACGCCGGCGGGCAGTTGCTGCCTCCTATCATTTCTGTTGCTGCTGGAAAGAGGCACGCGCTGCTGCTGACTCAGGATTTGCGACTATGGGCCTTCGGGGACAACCTGGCAGGGCAGTGCGGCCTGCCCGGGCACCAAGGCAAGCTGGTGACCCCCAAGGTAATCTTATTTTTAAACATAAGGCGGCTAGTTTCTTTTTGTTCAGCTTTGCGACTTATATTCAAACAAATAATTCACGGGTCTTCTCACATAGTTTCCCCAGTTAACAATGGACCAGTCAGTGCTTGTAGGCAGGAGCAGTAACGCTTAGATGCCCAATGGATCATCTTACCAGTTTTTGCTCTAAGCCGGAATTCAGGGTATTGATTGCGGCTGCCGAGCTGCTTACTTGTGCTGACTTGTATGTTGCTCTTCATATGTTGGTCGGTCCGTCTCGGTATTCAAGAGTTGAATTGGCTTGATCATGATATCTGATGATCTATTTATCACTATATTAGGATAGATCTATTTATATATTTACAGACTCATTGTTTTCTACTTGACTGGTTAAGGTTGGGGAAGTGATAGCCAGACTTACACGTGCTTCTTCGTGGCGTTTGCTCACATATTCATCAGTTGTGTACGTCGATAATATATAAACATATATTTATTGATATATTCACCGGCTTATTATTCCTTTGTGCTTAGCTAATTAAAGTTGGGGAAATGAGAGCCAGAGTCGCCAGAGTCGCCTGCGGCCACAGACACTCGGGGTGCATTACACGTAAGCAGCTTATCTTTTTTCGAATCACCACTGCATTTACGATTAATTCAGCCAATTGTTTCTCATTTTGCGCATTTTCCACTTTTTCTTTGTTCTCTGCTGCATTTGATTCTCAGCAAATCACCAGTTGTATCTGTGGGGCCACTCGTCAGATCACAAATTGATTTTCACAGCAGCGACAGAGGCTCTGGTGGCTGGAGAGACTCAAGCAGGAGTAGCCCTGAAGTCGGGTTTGAAGAATGCTTGCTGCAGGGTGAGATGCAATCCAAAACATTCTTTCTTTTTCTAGTTTGCGTTACTTTTTGTTTTTGTTTGTTCGCTTTGAACGGCTGTTTCTGCTTTTCTCATTTGCCTCGTGTGCGTGTCTTCCTCCTCATGCTAATGCTTCAGTTTGTTTGGCTCGCTTGTCTTTGTGGCTGTTCATTGTCTATTTGCGTTTTCGCTCATTTGGTTTTACTCTGTCTCGGGATTGCATGCATATCTCTGCTGGTTAGAGCAATCTTGTAACTTTGCAGCTGTATTGGTTAGCTAATATATTGTTTCTGACCTCGCCGTTTGCTTCCTTTTGCCATTCGTCCCTTCAATCCAAATTGCATTTTACCTGCCTATCTCTTAGGCTATCTCTCAGTTTCATCACAATTCTCTGTTACTCCTTGCCGTTTTCTTCCCTTGATCAGTAAAAGGCGAAATAAGATTAATGGTCATTTTATTTTGCCTTTTACTGGAATTTGTATTCGCATACATGTTTGTCCTTTGATCTCATCGTGTGTATGTTTAGTTGTCTGCTAATGTCTGGGTCCTATCTTTTTTTGTGTTCTCATGGGCTTGTTTACTTGTTGCTGTGTAGGTTGCTCGTCTCTTTTTGTTCATTTGTGTATTTATTAGCATGGCCTGACATCTGCCTTTTCTTTTACCTGTCCTTATGTTCGTTTTTGTAGTGTATTAACCCCCTCTCTTGATCTTTTTGCCTTTGCCTGCGTCTCAGCCTCGCCTGATATATTCGTTGCTGCACGAAAAGGTGACATGTTTATGTTTGGGCTCTTCCTTCACAATAGTAGTTACGGGAGACGGGGAAAAAGAAAAGCAAAAGTCTTTTCTAGACAGCAACCAAACGACCCCCGTTTCCTTTAGCTGCTGTCTAAACTCGCCCCACATAGTCACTGCAGCAGATCTGAAAATCAACACAAACACTGCAAACGAAGAACCTGCAGACACACAAGCTGCCATGTCAGGGGATCTAGAAGAGCCTTTTCAAGAAGAGGCGCAGAAAATGCCCGAAGAAGGCCCCCACAGGTTTTCTCAAGCAAATCCAGAGGCTCAAGAGGCACATGGACACAGCGAGTCACAAGAATTGCCAGAGACACAGAGGCCCCTAGGGGGCCCTCCAAAGCTACAAGGACCCACAGATCCACAGCGGACCCCACGAGAATCCTCACAGGCCCCCCTAAAAGGGTCTCTACAGGGGCCCCAGGGTCCTCGTCTGACTTCCGGTTGTGTGCCGGTTGCTGCTCCTTCTCCTTCTCTGCCAATATGGGCAGAACACGTCAATGATGGGGGCGCGTAAGGCATGCTGCTGCTGCTGCTGCAGCTTGTTGCTGATGCACCTTGCTGCTATTTCTGTACTGCCTGCTTTTCATCAGGGACGTCAATTGTGTCTGTCTTTTAACTGTGCCTGTAAGGCGTAGAGCTTTGAGCCCTAAACCCTTGTCTGGGCCTCATTTAAGTCACTGAGTCACTTCAGGATTCCAGGTTTCGAGTTTCAGGTCTTGATTAGAAATAAAGTTTGCGTTTTCCGCTAAAGGGCTTTGACGCCTGTCAAGTTTCGCGCCAACCTCTTAGACTGTTTGGTGCCTGTAAACTGTAGCGTACGCTATTCAAGAGTTAAGATTGAGGGCTCAGCTCTTAGACGTATGGTTTTAGGATTTAGGGCTAAGCACACAAAATTTAATGGCAGTCATTGTTCTTCTGTTCTTTAAGGATAGACGCAAATGAAACTGCAAATAGATGAAAGCAGAAGACAAGGGCAACTGGAAACGACGAACTGCTGGAGAAGGGAGGCAGGAGCTGTCCGTTACTGCTGAATGGAAGAGTTTCAGTGTCGAGATTTTCGACTGCAGCCTCTACTGCAGCAACAGCAGCGCCCGCTGCGACTGGTGTCGTCTTGCCTGCCTTTGCTGCAGCAGCGGCACCTACGACGTGCAGCGGGAATCGCGGCTGCTGCAATAACTGCAGGTGCGGCTGCACGTATCTTTGCCGCTGCAACAGCCGATGCAAGCGTCAGAGGTGTTCCAGCTGCAGCAGCAACAGCTTCAGCAGCTGCATGAGGTTCCCTAAGTGTTTCTAGCGTGCGTTGCCGGTCTCAATGCCGTGCATACGTGTATGTCTTCTTACACTTTGGAACAAAACCAGGAGAAACCGCATGTTAGAAACATACAAGCACAAAGTAGGCAAACGCTAGACAAGTAGATGTAGGTACGATCTAAGGGGCTTTATATGCTTTGAACGGTGGTAATTTCTGCACATCAAGGTGTGTTGAAACACATAAGTGTAACTGTGTGGGCGAATGCACGTGAATACATGTATAGGTGCATAATTGCATAAAGCACAGACATGAGTTTTGGGTTTTGGGGCTATGAATCCGGGGGGTAGAGGTAAGCGTTGCCTTCCATCCACTGGCTTGCTTAGCACAGCTGCGCAAGTTGAGGCGGCGCTTCTGCCTACGAATTTGCATACCGTGGCTAGTTGGGACCTCTTTCTAGCTACATACGTTTTCTAGCTGCCACTAATTTTACCCAGCCACAGCCAACTGCAGCTTGCAGCAGCAATCTACTTGTAGCAGAGGTACGTACCCATTGACCATGGCCGTGGAGTAAAACTACTGAAGATCCATTGGCCACAATTTACTCCTTTCAAGTAATCTACCTAGAGCTACCTACAAGTGGCTGTGGCCAGCTGCAGCCAGCCGCCACCAGTTTGATGTGCTGTGCCTGACTTATGCGTTGGGCGTCTGTGTCTTCTTGGATGGCAATAACGTGAACAAATAACAGCAAGATCAGTACGTGGAGACGAAAAATAAGGTAGTCCTTAATTCAGCACCATTTACATGAGTGCGAGTAATAAATTGATGCGAATAGAACGAAATGCATTCACATGAAAGGAGCACTTCAAACTCCAGCAGTTCAGATTCTTCTGGAAAGCGGGGTGAGCGAGGTTCTTTGCACACACTGAGCATACTTCTTGTAACATGAACATGATCGAATTAATTTGAATAAAACAATGATTGGAAAAGATGCAATGAAACGGGCTTATGCATTCGAAGACTGCCTGTCGCTGCTTGAAGGATGACAATGGGCTCAGAGTCAATGTTCCCAACCACCAGCAATGCGCAGCCCTGGCCATAATCTCTGGGCTCTAAGGCCTACACCATCAGCTTGTGATTTAGCAATACATAAATTAAAGTTTACGAAGAGCCAAAGCAAGCAAAGTTGCTGGCTTAGACCCTGGACGGCAAACTCCTAGAAAAGCCAAGGAGCTTGGCCACCTTGCAGGCCCGCGCTGCGCCATAGATTCCAAGCGCGTTTCAAGCTGGCGCGCACTGACTTATCATTAGTTTGTTGAGTGAGCATTTAAGGAATACTAGTACTTCAAGGAATAGGAAGAATGCGTTGTTGCAATAGTTGAAATTCCGTTGCGCTGCTTCTGGGGCTGTGTGGGACTGGCAACACTGTTTTGCACTTGCCTTTTGTGTCTCACTTTTTGCGAAATTTCTCATCCTTTGAAACTTGACAAACTTTATCGTCTCGGCGCCGTTTTTGGCTGTTTAAACATTTTCGCGTTTCATCACCATTTCCTCCCCCTTTTCGTTGCGTTGCTTCCCGCCACCTGTCTCCTGATTATCGGGGCCCCTTAAGCCTTCTAGAAGCCCCAGGTGGCATCTCTCACTGAGTTGCACCGTACAGAGGCCAAGGGGGGCCCCCTTGTCTTTCACGATTCTGCATCTCAGAGGGTCCCGTAGAGCTGCTATCTGCTGTTCGAGGGGGCCCCCAGCCCCTTCATGGCCTTCCCTCCGCCCTGTGGCTAGCGCTGCTTCAGCAGCAGCAGCAGCAGCGGCGGATTCTGCATGCTTCTGCTGCTAATTAGCCCAACTGTGCTCTTCCTTTGCTGCTGCAGGGCCAGGCCTTAAGTCGTTGCCCGGAATTCTAGACTTCGAGCCCTGCCCATGGCTCACACTTTCAGTCGGAAAAAAGGAAATAAAGGAACACGCAAACAGTAAACGGAAAAGCAAGAAAATAAAAAAGGAAATAAACAGCCAAGTGAAGAAGAGAAGAAGTGAATGTCGAAATGTACGCAGTTTTCTGAAGCACACTGCCGCAGGCTGGGGAATTGTGTTTGTCTTCCATTTTTTTGTGTTATCTCGTCTTGTCTATCTTGCTTTCTTTACTTTGCTGCTTTTTATTTGCATGGCTTTTATATATATGGGTCTTCACGATGCTTGGCGGCAAGGGCTTTGCTGCAGTTGCTGCTAGGAGCTGCTGCCTCTGCAGCAGCCCCCAGGCGCAACAGCGCCCAGCAGCAGCAGCGACAGCAGCAGCAGCAACAGCAGCAGCAGCAGACCCCTACAGCTGTGTGTCGTGGAGGAGAGGCACCAGGTGCTTTGCGAGGGCATGTGGCGACCAGACGCGGCGCTTGCACCTCGCAGGTAGCCCCGCTGGAGCAGCAGCAGCAGCAGCAGCAGCGAAAGCTGCAGCAGCAGCAGCACCTACAGCAGCAAGAATAGCAGCAGCCCTTGGCAGCTGCCCAGGGAAAGCCCGCAGGCTTGCGGCTTCGCCTCTCTACAGCAAACTGCCGTGGCCTGCTGCACCCGCCCCAGAGGCCCAATATGCCTCTTCTGCATTTCAAGTTATTTCTACTAAGTCCAGAGACGGGCAGTTAAATAGACAAATGAGGGCCATGCATGGGCCCCCAGCAGGTGATAGCCCACAGGGGGCCCCCGAGGAGCGGCCAGTGCCGGGGCACAGCAGCAGCAGCAGCAGCAGCGGGAACAGCAGCACCAGCATGGACAGCAGCAGCAGCAGGGACAGCAGCAGCAGCAGGGACAGCAGCAGCAGCAGGGACAGCAGCAGCAGCAGGGATAGCAGCAGCAGCGGTGGGGCTGCCTTAGACTTTGCCGAGGTGTATATGCCTCGGCGTTCTCCTGGGGAGCAGTCAGCAGCAGCAGCAGCAGCAGCAGCAAAGCTGGCTTTGTACCCTACCTCGGGGCGTGGGGTGTCTAGACAGGCCACACAGAGCGAAGGCGCAGCAGCAGATTCGGGGGGCCCCAGGGGCCCCCGAGATCGCCAGAGGCCCCCACTTTTGTCTGCAACAGATGCTGCTGTTGCTCGCATCAAGGAACTGGTGCAGCAGTACAACGAGCAGCTGCAGCAGCAGCAGAAACAGGGGGCCCCTTTGCCCAAGGCTTCGGGGATCCGCATTGCTCTGCGGCGCCAGGGCTGCAGCGGAATGGCCTATGATGTCACACTCTACACAGAGGGGCCCCCCTTGAGCAGCAGCAGCAGCAGCCCCAGCAGCGCAGCTGGTGCTGCAGGCGCTGCTGAGGGGCCCCCGGTGGCCCCCCGGGCTGCTGCGGGGGGCCCCCGCTCCCGCAAGGGCAAGGACTGGGGGAAAGACGAAGTGGTTAAAGTTGGGGGAGTTGAAATTCGAGTTGCTGCTGATGCAGTTATGATGCTGGTGGGGACTCAGGTTGATTTCGTTGATGAAGATGTACAGACTGGCTTTGTTTTCAACAACCCCAACCAGAAACAGTCTTGCGGCTGCGGGAAGAGCTTCATGGTATAGCCTGCAGCCGCTGCTGCTGCAGCCGCTGCAGCTGCGGGCGCAGCAGCAGCAGCAGCAGCAGCAGTAGCAGTTTGCTCTCCGGGCCAGGCCTGGGCACAGGCCTGGCGGGGCCAAGCACCGGCGAACGCATGCATTCCTGTTTGGGGCTTTTGGAATTTTGCATGTTGCTGTTTTGTTTTTTTTCATTTTTAAAATTTTGTCTGTCTCCAGGTGCTGCAGCTTCTCACGCCTCGGCCTGGGGGGCCCCCGCTGCCATCAATTCGAAGAAGTAACTGCACTCGAGGGCCCCATCTTCCTTCAGGTCTGTACAGTGGAGGCCATTGCGGGGGACGTCGGTGCCCAGTTTGGCTCGCAGGGTGGAGGGGTGCAGGTAGCGGCAGATTTCGGGGTCGTGGGGCCCTGAACACGCATATGTGCATGCATGCATGCATGCGTGCATGCGTGCATGCGTGCATGCATGCAGGCGTGCATGCGTGTATGTGTGTGAATGTACGTACGTGTTCATTTATATGTGTATATATTCAGCTGTACGTACACCTCGACAATCAAGGCAAAGAGCGCAAGACCTAGGGAGCCGCAGTGTGGTATGTCTGAGCTGCTTTGCTGAAGAAGCTTTGTCACGAACAAAAGAGGCACAAAGCTGCTGCTGCAGCTGCTGCTGCAGCTGCTGCTGCTGGCGGTGACCCTGCTGGCCGGCAGTGTGTTGTTCTCACCCGCTAAGCGTCTGAGCCTGGCCACTGCGTCAGGTCCTTCGAGCTGCAGCGCCACGACAGTTCCGTTTGTCATTTCCTCAACAATCTGCAAAAAAGGAACACAAGGCGAAGTAAAAGGCCAACTCCAAACTTCAAGTTCAGAGCTGCTGCAGCAGCTGCTGCAGCTGCAGCAGCTGCAGCAGCTGCAGCAGCTTAGCTGCCGCACGAAGAAGTGACAAAAACGGGAGACATTGCCCTTTCCGACTTTGCGGGGATAGCCTCTTGAGGGTCTTTTTTAGGGGCCCCTAGGAGTCCTTCTAAAAGGGCCTTTTATGAAGGTTTTGCTGACGTGTTTAAACGCTACCCTGGAGGCTCCCGGGACCCACAGGGGCCCTACCTGTGGGTATTCCTTCAGCACTGTTCTGTAGATCTCGAGGAACTCTTGGGCTGCTAAATTGGTCAGGCGAAATGACTGCATGTTGGAAATTGCAAAATTCGCATTTATTATTTCTTCAAGTATGGCGCCAGTTTGCTGTATGGCATGGGGCTTCACGACGCAGCAAGTGACCTCAGGCACTGCAGTGGCCCCAAGGGCCCCCACCCCAAAAGGGGCTTCAGGGGCCCCAGCAGGGGCCCCAACAGGGGCCCCAGCAGGGGCCCCTGCAAGGGTCCCAGCAAAGGCTCCACCAGGCGCCCCGACAGGGGCCCCCGCAAGGGTCGCAGCAGGGGCCCCCGCAAGGGTCGCAGCAGGGGCCCCTGCAGGGGCCCGTGCGCGGGGCGTAACCCTCTCACAGAGCTCTGCAGCCAAATCCTCGATGGCAGCAGCGGGGGTGTCCGCACTTGGGTGTAGCGACTGAGGGGCGAGAGTGGCAACCCTGCGGAGGGGAGAAGAGCAAAGAGAAGACAAAGAAAACAGGTTAAGGGGCCCCCCGGGATTTCTAATGAGGCATTTTTGTTTCCAGAGAGCTTGTGAGCAGCTGCAGCGACTGCGGGGAAGCGGATTTAGATGGGCAAAGCTGAGCTGCGAAAACAACCAGAAAGATCTGCTAATGGCACTCCAGAGTTGCGGATTAAGAGAGAAGTGCCCACTTATTTGCTGCGTCTCTTCCAAGTAAAGTGAAAGCCACAATGGCAGAGGAAGATAAGACAGAAAGGTCCCCCTGCATGCATGTATTCGGCGAATGGAGGGCCAGCAGATCAGCCAAAGAAGCCTCTAAGGCCAGCTCTCTGCAGCTGGCCAGCGTGAGCCCAGAGTCAAGCAGGCCCTGAAGAGCTCGAGGGTAAACGTGGGTGTCAGTTGCGCGCCAGATACAGAGGGCAGGCTGCATGCACAGTGCGAGGTAAGCAGCAGTCTGGTGGTTGGCTGGCTCGAGGATTCTTAAATGTCGGGAAAGAAGAACAAGCTGCGCCCCTTGATACAATTTCTGAATCGTGGCGTTGGGAACCAAAACCCGTTTCAAGTTCGTGCTGCTGCTGCTGCTGCTGCTGCTGCTTCTTTTGAGTTCTACTGTGCTGTCGCCGGTGTAGTACACCAGTATCAGTTCCTTTGTGTCACCAGCACCCGACGCGTCCCACGACGCGTAGAAAGCAAGTCGGGGAGGGGTGTCCATTTGAAATATATTTTTAGTAAATTAATTTCAATTGAAGTTTATTAACGAGCGACGATTGCCGCTTCACTGCTGTAACCGCACAGCGCGCGCGTATAGATCTGAACAGTCGGCTGCAGGCCACTGCAGCAAGAACGACAGAGGGCCAGAAGGATGCCATCCAGGGCTCTAGTCGAAGAATTTAATGCAAAAAGAAATCCTTTTAAAAATATTTTCACTAAAAGTGAATTGTTTTTAGAGTTCCGGAAGGGGTGCGCATGCTAGCAGGTGTCTTGTGGCTCATCGGCTCGGTATGCATCTGCTTCTCAGTTCTGTAGCCTTCACTTCGAAAGATTATTGTTGAATAAATTTCCCTAAGTCGATCCAGTTGATCTGTGTTTAGTTTGAAGGGGAGAAGAGGCAGGTTTCCCGTAGACTGCTCGAAAGTGGAACATGCAAAAAGTCGATTCAAAACTTGAACGGAAGAGCAGCGGGAACTGTATCAGCAGGTTGGGTCCAAATGCGAAACAATATATCTATTTTTCTTATTATTTAACTTATAAATCAGTTTAAATGCAAAATTAGGCAATTTAACCTTATTTCTCTGTCCTCTTCAGTCCCATCAGTCAAGGATTGCGAGTTTCTGAAGAGGAATACAGGGCCTGGACCTCGGAGTCATTGAAGATCGGGTATACCTGGTTGACTTCCCTCAGTTTGTAGGCGACCTGAAGGAAATAGTTTTAGCCCGTATTACATTTGAAGCAATTTAGAATACTTTGCAGTGCAAGAAAGACAGACATTTATTAGTTCCTGCATCATGGCCTGCAGCCTGGTGTCCGGGCTTGCGGCCCTGTCCTGGTTGCAGATTCTGCAGTCTCGCATTTCCAAAAACTACATTTGATATTTGTACTTTCTGTTCCTTTTCAAGTGCCGCCTTCGCCACGGCGTCTTCGGCGTTTTCCTGCGGGGCGGCCGTTGCTGCGCAGTCTCCAGAAAATGTTGAACAGGAGTTAAAGCCTCACTTCAGCAATCTCAGCGTCCTCAGCTAAGTCTCGGGCGTGCTCTAGTTTGCGTTCAAGCTGGTTATCTCTGAAACTCGTGGTGAAACTGAAACGCTATTGTTGCACAGCAGTGGCACCTCTCTGTCTGCTCCTCGAGCTCATCCGCAACCTTATTCACGTCATCTTCCCTTTCTTCTTCCTGTAGTCCCGTAAATTTTAATTTCGTGTTTGCTGATCGAACCCCAGAACCCAAGGCTTACGCTTAACTCCTCGCCTTCCTCACCCTCCGCTTGCAACAGCCGCAGAGCTGTGCAGGATGAGCTTTCGCTGCATAAGGAGACGAGGAGGGAGGACAAAGCTAGGGACAAAGGCACAAAAAAAATCCTCATGATTTGATGATATGAAAATACTGTTTCAGGTTTGATTGCTGCCAAAGCCATAAATCTCTGAAGTCACTATCGGGTGCTTGAATGTGCATTCCTGACACCTGCGTATACACCAGAAATCTTAATTCTGACATTCACTCCAAAAGCATCAGTAACAAAATAAACCAATACTTGTTGGTCAGGTAACTGTTTTGATATTAATTTAGTTCAAGACTTGAAGAAGAACCACTTTCGATTCATGAGTTTACATGTACACGGGATGTCACAATCCTTAGCGCCACTGGACTCCAAGCTGTTTAGACCACCGAAGGCTACGGAGAACAATGCTTCCGTAATTTAACTACAAACTCGTGTACGTGTCGTGAATTCAAGATTTACGGGTGGCCTGGGCCGCAGCCGAATGCGACATGGCGCAGCAGAAGGAACTGTGGCTGATTCAGCGTCACTCTGGGTGACCGTAAGGGCAGGATTAAATCTGTGTGCGGCGCCATATGGATTAAAAGTATAATTTAAATATCAAAAGAAGCCCGTATTAAGTATCACACGAAATCGAAGCATCGTGAGACTGGGGCCCCACTGTGCCCCACAAACTCCCAGCGCCAGTTACCAGCGCGAGGCGACGCAGCCATCTACGCAATATTCCCCTGCCTAAACCCGTCTTTTCAAATTAGTTGCATTTAAATTAATCTTTTCTTTTAATTGGGAGAAGCACAGTGCGCGGAAGCGCGTCTAAAGCCCCCGGCGCGCTGCCGTGTGGGCCACCCACGCAAGCCAGTTGCTATTTCTCTGCCTCTGGGGATCCTGAGTGGAATGAATCATTGAGAGTCTTTTAATTGTTTTGAATGTACAAAGTCTTGTCACTAGATTAATTTTAAGTTCCTTTTTTATTGACTCAGGGGGCTCTCTGTGAGTCGATGCTGCTGTCCTTGGGAGCCTCGCAAGTGCAGAGGACTCTGGGGAAGCAGCAGCAGTTCTGTGTCCCTTCCCAGGCTTAGCTGCTGCATCTTGGCACTACTCCATCCTAGGGCGGCTGCGCCGAAGAAGTCCCTGCTTTTGCTGCTGCTGCTGCTGCTGCTGCTGCAGCCGCTGTGCTGCTGGACCCTTCTGGTACGCAACAGACTCTGCAGCAGCAGCAGAAAACTGAATTTTGGGCGGAGAGGATGCAGAGGGAAGGCAGCAGTGCGCCCAAGCGCTCCCGGCGGTCCCGGCGGCGGGCGAAGTCCAGCAACGAGGCCTCAGCAGCAGCAGCAGCAGCAGCAGCGTCGTCTGCTGCAGCAGCGGGCCCCGCGGCAGCTGGACACACGGCGTCCACAGGAGCAGCAGGAGCAGCAGGAGCAGCAGCAGCAGCAGCAGCGCCGTCTCTGACACTGGCGGCCCCCGCAGCCGCCCCTCCTCCCAGCTCGGGGGCCCCCGAGGCCCCGAAGCCGGAAGAAGCTGTGGGGAGAGAAAGTGCTGCTGCTGCTTCGAGTTTGCTGCCGCTGGTGGCGACGCCGCTGGCGCGGCGTTTGCTGCAGAAGCTGCAGTGGGCCTACGAGGCGCAGCGGGGCGGCGTGAGGCCCCCCGTGCTGCTGCACGGATTTCCGGGCAGCGGCAAAAGCTCTTATGTTCGCTGGCTGGCCCAAATGGCTGGCATCAAGGAGCCCCCCGTGAGTTTATTTCTGGACCAGCAGACGGAAGCAAAGGACCTCGTTGGTGAGCCCCCAGCGCCCCTCGCAGCAGCGTGCTGCTGCTGCCGCCGCCGCTGCTGCTGCTGCAGCTGCTGCCGCTGCTGCTGCTGCAGCGGCTGCTGCAGCGCCAGCTGCTCCCACTGCTGCAGCTGCCGCTGCTCCTGCACCGCCGGCTGCTCCCGCTGCTGCAGCTGCCGCTGCTGCTGCAGCTGCCGCCACCGCTGCTGCGGCTGCGGCAGGGAGAGCGCTGCAGCGGGCTGCCTGTAGCGACACGGACCCATTCTTTGTGTCTTCTGCGGCGAGCGATCTGCTGCTGAAGAGCTGCTGCAGGCGGCCGGCGGGGTTTTAATTACTGTTCTTTAATTGTTTTCTTTTATTTTCTTTTTATTTGCGTCAGGGTCTTGGGTCTGCGGCCGCCGCGCGGGGGAGTTTGAGTGGCAAGAGGGCATTTTGCTGCGCTGCGTGCGCGAGGGGCGTTGGGTGGTAATAGAGCAGCTGCAGCAGCTGGCGCAGGACGTGCATGCGCTGCTGCATGCGTTGGCAGCAACGGGAGTTCTAACAGTTCACGAGCAGCAGCAGCAAATCAAAGCTCACCCGAACTTCGCCCTCTTCGCAACGCTCGCTGCAGCGCCGCCTGTGCTGCGCCCGCGAGCTGGCCGCGCAGCAGCAGCAGCAGCAGCAGAAGCGGCAGCAGCAGCTGCAACGGAGGAGACGCTGGACGTCTCCTTGACAGCGCCGCCCCCCCGCCTGCCGCCGCTGCTGGCCTCTTGGGTGCTGCTGCATGTGCCTTCTCCCTCAGCAGCAGATGTTATGCAAATAGTGAAGACTGTGTTTCCCTTTGTTTCCCCCGCTGCCCACACGCTGCAGCGGGCCTTCCGTGCTGCAGCAGCAGCAGCAGCAGCAGGCCTCTCACGGCCGGGACAGCCGCCGCCCAGGGCCGTGCGGCTCCCGCAGCTGCGGGACTTCCTGAAGCTCTGCAGACGCCTCGACAAGCTCGCGAGAAGCAGCAGCAGCAGCAGCAGCAGCATTTTTGAGGGCTACTTGACGGACGGTCTGAAGCTGCGCATTGTGGAAGAAGGCGCAACTGTGCTGCTGGGTCACCTGAGTGACCGGCTGCTGCGGCTGCGTGCTGCTGCTGCCTTTGGCCGCGAGTGGGGTGTCAGTGAAGAACAAGTGGGGGCCCTTTTGTTTGGCCAGAGGCCCGCAGTCACTGACACGCCGGAGGCCCTAAGTGTGGGGCCTTACCTGTTGCCCAAGCTGCGCAGGCCGGAGCCCGCGGCCTGTGCAGCCCCCGAGGACGTCTTCGCCACAGCAGCGGCAGAGCCAGCAGCAGCAGCAGCAGCGGGGGAGCGCGCTGCTGCTGCTGCTGGCATGGGAGGCTCGGGCTGGCTCACGGGGCAGCAGCTGCGGCTGGTGCAGCAGGCTGCGGGGGCCCTGCTGGCTGGAGAGCCGCTGCTGCTGGTGGGCGACACCGGCGCAGGCAAGACCTTCATAGTGTCTTACTTGGCGCAGCAGCTGGGGGTGGGGTTGGTGGTGATTAATCTGCACCAGCAAAGTGAAGGGGAGGACTTGCTGGGCCGCTGGGTCCCCAGGCACCCCCCACAGGAGGCTACTGGGCTTTGGCGGCAGCTGCTGCACATTGGCGAGCTCATGCTGGGGCCCCTGGGCCAAGAAGGGCCCCCGCAGGGGCCCGAAGCAGGTGCAGCAGCAGCAGCAGCTGCTGCTGCTGCTGCTTCAGCTGCAGGTCGAAAAACAGGGAGGGATGAGGAGGGGGATGGCCCTCAGGCGAAAAGGCGAAAGCAACAAACTGAAACGGGCAACAGCATTATAGATGCATCTAGGCAAATGCTGCTGCAGGCACGGAAAATTGGTTCGCGGCTGCTGCAGCGGGAGGCATATGTGGCGCTGCTGCGGCTGGCAGCAGCAGCAAACACTGCCCTGCTGCAGCTGCTTAGGAAGCGAGGTGATATGCTGCCTGTCGTGCGGACTCCCCAGAAGCAGCAGCAGCTGCAGCAGCGTGTGACAGCAGGGGAGCTGCTGGCGAGCTGCACTGAGCTGCAAACTTCTGTGTCAGATCTACTAGAAGATCCAGCCCTGGCGGACTGCAGCGCAGCGACGCCTCGCAAGTTTGAGTCTTTGTTGGATACATGCGGGTTGAGGGGCTTCTTGCCCCAGAGCGGGGGCTGCGGAGCAGCAGCAGCACAGGGAGCAGCAGAAGAAGCAGCAGCAGCAGCCGGCGCAGAAGCAGCAGCAGCACACCCGAAACGCCGCTGTCAGCTGCACTTCGCCTTCACAGAGGGGCCACTTGTTGAAGCCGTGAGAACGGGGAAATGGCTGCTGCTTGATGAAATCAACTTGGCTCCTCCCGACTTGCTGCAGCGGCTGCTGGGGCTGCTGGACGAGCCTGAGGAGCCGCTGCTGGTGCTGGAGGGCGGCAAGCCGCGCCGGGTGTACAGACACCCCAACTTCCGTGTCTTCGCCTGCATGAACCCGCCCACCCTCGCGCCCCCTCTCCGACTCGCAGAACACAAGCTGGAGTTCGAAGACGAGAACGAACCGCCCTCTGCAGACGGCCCCGACCACCAGCAGCAGCAGCAGCACCAGCAGCAGAGGGGTAAGGCGGCGTCTGCAGAAGGGTCTGCGGCTGTGGGCAAGCGGGAGCTTCCGGCTGAAGTGCGGCAGCGGTTCACAGAGCTGTTTGTGGATGACACAGACGGGCTAGAAGACATAACCACAATAGTGGATGCGCACTTGCGGCAGTTGAGCGCCGACCCTCCCTCTCGCCTTGTGGCTGAGGTGTACATACACCTGAGGTACTTGGCCGAGGCAGGGCAGATCCTAGATGGCAACAACAAAACTCCTTGCTACTCTCTGAGAACCCTGTCTAGAGCTTTACAGCACGCAGCAGCCGTGGCCCAGCGCCGGCTGCGCCCCCTGCAGCTACGTGCTGCACTAAAGGAGGGCTTTGCTGCTCTCTTCGGCTCTTCCCTGAGCCCCCACAGCGCCTCCAGGGTCGAAGAAGTCCTAGCCAAAGCGCTGAAGGAGCCGCGGCTGCAGAGGCTTGCAGGGGGTGCTTCATGCAGTGTGGAGAGGGCAGCCTCACAAGCCGCAGGAGGTGTGGGAGCTGCTGCTCCGCCCCTGGATCTGCAGCTGCTGCCCACGCCGTCTGACGAGCACCCACATGTGTCCATCGAGGGCTTTATTGTGCGCAGGGGTGAGCCAAAGGGCGCTTCTGCATGCAGGCAGCAGCGGGCTCTCCCCTCTGCTGCTTTCTGTTGTGGTGCTCTGCTCGAGTTGAATAAAGAAGCACAAAAACGGTTCAGAGGCATAGTGCCATTTGGGAACTCAGCGTTCTTCTATCTGCTGCAGGCTATGCCTATCTTTGTTCGTATTTGCTGCTACTGCATTTGTTTGTTTACTGTACATTTGTATAGTCGTTTATCATTGCTGCTGCGGCATCTGCCTGTGCATTTGTGCTTCCTAGGTAACGAGCCGATAGCTGTAGAGACACTGAAGAAGAGTTTCGTAATGACGCCGCGTTCTGCGGTGTACGTACGCCGTGTGGCTCGGCTGCTGAGCGGCAGCCGCTGTGCGTTGCTGCTGGAGGGCCCCACATCTTGCGGGAAGACATCTTTGGTGTCTTTTCTGGCTGCTGCTACTGGGCATAAATGCGTGAGAATAAACAATCACGAAAATACTGACATTCAGGAGTACGTTGGAAGCTACGCCCCAGACCAACACGGCAGACTTGTCTTCACAGAGGGGCTGCTGACTCTGGCGGTGCGCCACGGCTGGTGGGTTCTGATTGACGAGCTGAACCTCGCGCCCTCCGAAGTCCTAGAGGGTAGGACCCGTTGCTGCAGCAGCAGCAGCAGCAGCAACAGCACCTGCCACAGCAGCAGCACCAGCAGCAACAGCAGCAGGAGCAGGGAATAGGCTGGGTTGCACTTTGTTTGAGCCTCGCTGCCAGCTGCATTTCACAAAAAAGAACAGAAGCAGCGGGGTTGTAGTGCGTAGCTCTGCTGCTGTTGCTTGTTTCTGTTGCTGCAGCTCTCAACCGTCTCTTAGACAACAACCGCGAGCTGGTCTTGCCCACAACTGGCGAAGTCATAAAAGCCCACAGCGACTTCCAGCTGTTCGGGACTCAGAATCCAGCGGGCATTGGGGTTTACGGGGGCCGCAAGATGCTGAGCAAAGCTTTAGCCAATCGTTTTTTGCAGCTGGAGATTGAGGAGTTGGGCGAAGACGACCTCCGCCTCATTCTCATGAACAAATGCAAACTCCCCTCTTCCAGGGCAGAGCCCATGCTGCGCGTATACAGGGACCTGCAGCAAAGAAGAGCCAACAGCTCAGTAAGCCACGAGCTGTTCTCGCTGCTGCTGCAGCTTTGCCGGCTTTTGTTTTGTTCCCGCTTAGCTAGTTTGCATGCTGTCGCGGTGCTGTTTGTGTGATCGTTTTCTAGTGTTGGACACAACTTTTTCATCTTTGTCGACTTCCTTCCCTCTTTCTCAATGCTTCTTCTCTCTAAGTGTCTTTTTGCTTTCTTTTCCCCTGAATTTTGTTTTCTCGCTCATGACTCTGCCGTTTTCCGTGATTTTTGTGCAATTTTTTTGTTTAGGTGTTTTTCGGCTCTCATGGTTTCATGACCATCCGCGACTTAATTAGGTGGGGACGGCGCGTCGGGAACTCTCCTTTCCAGGAGCTCCTTCATAACCAACAGCAAAACCAGAAGCAGCAGCAGGAGCAGGAGACTCGTGAGTACGCACCCACGTCGCTTGAGGAGGTCGCGCTGGAGGGGTGGCTGCTTGTGGGTGAGCGGCTGCGCACTGAGGAAGAGAGGGCCACAGTGCGCCAGTCTTTAGAAAAACACTGTCTCAATTCAACTCCAGCAAAGCCTAAACAGTTGCTTGTGGATTATGCAAGGGATCCATATGTTGCTGCCTTCCGCCGGCTGCTGGACAGAAAGATTGAGTGCTGCATGCAGCAGCAGGCTGCGGCTGCTGCAGCTGCTGCGGAAGCAGCAGCTGCAGCACAGAGAGCGGCTGCGCTTGACGCTGGCCCGGAAAGGGAACTATTGGAAGCCGAGGCTGCTGCAGCTGCCACAGAAGCAGCAGCTGCAGCAGCAGCTGCAGAGCTTCCCCCTTTCCTTCCGTTTTCCTTCAATAATGCCTCCTTCAGGTTGTTGGCCCTTACGCTGAGGGCCCTTGCAGCCTCTGAAAGTCTTCTTTTGATTGGAGACACAGGGGCAGGCAAAACTGCCGTGTGCGAGTTAGTGGCGTGGACCCTGCGGCAGCAGCAGCAACCGCCGCAGCAGCAAGACCAGCAGCAGCAGCAGGAGGGCCAAGAGCTAGAAGACTTGCTTCGACAGCGTTTGTATCCAAGTGGTATGTATGTCTACAACTGCCACTTGCAGATGGAGGCATCGGAGCTGTTGGGTTGTATGACTCCGGTTCACCAAGGCGAGCTGCAGCAGCAGCAACAGCTTGCTGCTATGGTGCAGACAGAGGTTCTTCGTATGCTGGAACAGCCACCAGACCCAGACGAGCTGCTTCCTGACTGGAAGCAACGCGAGCAATCTGCAGCAGCAGCAGCTGCTGGAGGTGCAGCCGCAACAGGGACATCTGAAGCAGCAGGAGCAGACGAGAGGGACAGCTCGTCGCGTGAGCTGCTGCTGCGGTTCTATGAACTGCTGCAGTCGGAAGCAGCAGATGTGCTGATCTGCTTGAGGGCCGAAAGATACCGTAAAGATGACAGTGCTGCAGCGGATGAAGAAGATGCCAGCCTTTTCTCGAGGGCCCTCAGCAGGGCCACCAAGAACGCTCAACAGCAGCTACTTAAAGAGACACAGGAAGCAGCAGCGGCAGCAGCTGAGAAAGAAACAGAACTGAGGGAGCAGCTTCAAACAGCTCAGCAAAAACTGCAGCAAAGGCAATGCCTGCAGCAACACCAGCAACAGCTGCAGCAGCAGCAAGATCAGCTGCAACGTGAGGAGCAGCAAAAGACCACGGACGACGGCGATGCCAGCGAGACTATGCAGCAGGAGCAGCAACAGCAGCTGCAGCAAGGGGGTACAGCAGCACGAAAACGACAACGCAAAGGGGTCAGAAATCGTGCAGCAAAGGAAGCAGCTGGCGTTGCTGCTGCTGACTCTGAGCAAGTTGCAGAAGCAGCACAAAAGAGACGCCGAAAGGCAACAGAAAATGTAGAGACCGCAGCAGCTTCAGCATCAGTGGAGGCAGGAGAAGCACGAACAAATTATGTGGACAAGCAGCCTGCTGAGCCTGCAGCAGCAGCTCATGCTGCTTCTGCCAGCGACGCTGGTGGTGAAGGAGCCGCCGCAGAGGCAGCAGCAGCAGCAGCAGTAAGTGCGGCGGAGGAAGAAGTATCGTTGCGTGCATCAGCCTGCGGTTCTGCTGCAGCAGCGCTCGCAGCTCGCGCTGCTGCTAGCGAGACTGCTGCTGCACTAGTAAACCGATTCTGCGAGCTGCTGCGGCAGCGCTGTGCTGCGTGGCTGGCAGCATGCAAGGGGACCCGCCGCCTGTTCTGCTGGCGAGATGGACCATTGGTCAGGGCCATGCGCGAGGGGGCCCTTTTTCTTCTTGATGAGGCCTCCCTAGGCCAAGACGCAGTTTTAGAGCGACTGAATTCAGTGCTCGAGGATGGGCGGCACCTGCTGCTGACAGAACAGGGGGCAGCAGGCGCAGCAGCAACGGGCGGAACAGCTGATCGCGACGCAGAAGCAGCAACAGGGGCACCTGCAGAAGCAGCATCGGCGGGGGTAGGCGTAGAAGCAGCTGCAGGCTTCCGCTTCATTGCAACAATGAACCCTGGAGGGGACTATGGCAAGCGCGAGCTGTCTCCGGCATTGCGCAACCGCCTGACGGAGGTGTATGTACCTGCCTTCAGCTTCCAGGCCCCAGACGCTGTGCTGCTGCTGCTGCAGCGCCTCCAGCACACGTGTGTCCGCGGCCTGTGTCTGCCGCACGCAGCAGCAGCAGCTGCGGAAACCAGCGAAAAGAAGACGGGGGGTGTGACCCAAATGCAGCAAGAAATCACGTTGTTGTTGGAACAGCAGCAGCAGCAACAACAACGAGAAGGCAGCGCCGAGGACTTGCCTCTCAACTTACTGGCTGCGCGCCTGCTGCTGGTGCTGCGGTGGGTGAGACAGTACATTAAGCAGCCGCTCTCGATTCGTGATGCATTTTGCTGGATTTGTTTTATCCACAGGTTTGTAGCTTCCAATCTGCGGCAACCAGCAGCAGCAGCAGCACGACCTGCTCCCGCAGCTGTAGCAGCAGCTGCTGCTCGGTGGGTGGTGCAGGGTTTCATACATGGGGGGTGCTTGCTGCTGCTGGATGGCCTAGGTGTGGGGGCAGAGCTGCAGTTATCGCAGCAGCAGCTTCAGGAGTTAGCGGATGACTATGTAAATGCTGAGACAGACCTCAGCAATGCGCATGCTCCGCATGCACCCCAGCAGCAGCAGCAGCAAGTGCAACAGCGGCTTCAGCTGCTCCAGAAACAACTGCAGCAGCAGCTCGAGGAAGCTGCGACGCAGCCACAGAGAAGGCCACATATAGGCATTTTGCTGCTTCTAAAGGCGCATGCTTGCCGCCTTTACCGCGATCTTGGCCTCTACAGATACAACGAACTGCCTCAGCAGCAGCAGCAACCCCAGCAGCAAGATATGACAGGCCCTTTTTGGGAGACGACGTGTTCTTCATTTGATGAAGACGGGTTTGCATGGGTCTCTGCTGCTCTGACTGATGAGAAACTAAGTGAAAAAGAAGCAGAGGCAGCGCTGGAAGTGGGTCCTTTCAGCCTTGCCGCTTTCAAGCAGGTGCAGCAGCAGCAAAAGCTGCGGCAGCAGCAGCCAAACGAGGAGGAGCTCCCGGAAGTCGTGAAGTCGCCGTCTGTAAGGAAGTCTCTAGGAAGGCTGCTGCGTTGCTTGCTGCTAATCCAGCAGCAGCAGCAGCAGCAGTGCAAGCTGGCGTCAGGACTAGGAGGCCTCGGCAGCAGCTCCGGGCGGCACGCGGTGCTGTTGGAGGGACCCCCAGGGGCCGGCAAAACGTTTGTAGTGGGCCTTCTGGCCCGGCTGTGTGGACGGCGTCTTGTGCGAATCAATTTGAGTGAAGACACGGAGCTTGCAGACCTTTTAGGAGCTGTCGTCCCTAGCGCAGAAGTAGAAGAAAGCTGCGGGTCTGAGGGCTCCGCAGAGGCCGCCACGCAGCGACAGAAAAAGCCTCCTTTTGTGTAAGTCAGTGCACTGAGCAGCGGCTTAACCCGCCCCTCCTCAAGGCAAGGGCTGTGTTAGCTTTTTGTGTCCCACGTGTTCAACGGTAGCCGCCAGCAGCCTGAAAATTGAGATCAGCACTTGTATGCGTGCACGCATTCGTGCATGCATGCGTGTCCATCTTAATAAATTTTGCTTGGGATGTGTGTGCACTCGCTGGGCAATGTTGGGGCTTCTTAGGTGGACTGATGGAGTGCTGACCCGCAACCTGCGTGCGGGCAATTGGATTTTGCTGGACGAGTTGAATTTGGCGCCGCAGCAGACGCTGGAGGGCCTAAACCCGCTGCTGGACCACAGGCGCTGTGTGTACTTGCCGACCCCAGAGGATCCTCTCAGTACCAAGAACAGAGACGCAGCAAACAAAGACGCAGCAGCAAAAGCTGGAGGGACAGAAGCAGCAGTAGCTGGAGGGGAAGCAAACAAGGGAGCTGCTGTCTATGCACCTCCAGGATTTGTTCTCTTCGCCACGCAGAACCCTCACGCGACAACAGCAGCTGCTGGCGTTCAGACAAGACGGACAAGTGCAAGTAACAACAAATGCGTTATGGAAGATGATGAGGAAGAGACTGTTGCAGATTTGTTGCGTCTCCTTGGACTGCCGGAGAGCCTCGACGGCACAGCCTTTAAACGGCACAGCAGCAGCAGCGGCAGCAGCAGCAGTGGCGGCAGCAGCAGGCCCTGCAGCAAAGCTGTGGAAGGCAGGAAAGGCCTTCCTCAGTCACTTTTAAATCGCTTTTGTAGAGTGCGCGTCGATGAAATGCTCGAGTCGGACATGATCGCCATTGCTCACAAGCTCCTAACCTGTCTGCAGAGCAAACGGGAGCAGCAGGAAGAGCGGCAGCAACATCAGGGACAGCAACAGCTTCGGCAGAAGCAACGGGAGGAACAGCAACAGCTTCCAAAGGAAGGGACGCGTGAATCGGCTCTGGCTCTTGCTAAGGAGCCCCAGCTGGGGCTGCTGCTAAGTACATGCTTTGTGCGCTGTGTTCGTTTATTGGGGCAGCTGGCCTTAGAAAGACCTTTTCAGGGCCTGGGCGATTCCGTCTTCAACTTGAGAGACGTTATGCGGGTTGTCAGGCTTTTCGCAAATAAAGTAAATTGTGCCGCTGTTGCTGGTGTTGCTGTGGATGCTGCTGCTGCTGGTGTTACTGTGGGTGCTGCTGCTGTTGCTGCCGCTCTTGCATGGTACAGGTGGCCTGTGTATTGAAGATTCCAAAATGCTAGTTAGGGGTTTGGCAGCTCAGAGACCCGTGGGGTAGGAAATACAGCGGCTGAAGAAAGCTAGAATGGAACAGAGCTTGAAAGGAAAGAGACATGGATTTGCTAAGACCACTATATCAAATCATCTACGTAGCTTGCGGGCATTTGTGTAAACTTGCTGCTGATGTGCATGCCCTCAGCTGCCCTCAGCAGACCCGCGGTCTGCTGCGGCTGTGGCGTTGCTCTCGCGATTGAGGATTTCAGACAATGTGCAAGCAGCGGCTTCTGTGCTGCTGCTCTGCTTCCCGCCGCGGCTGATGGAGCTGCTGCAGGCGCGCAGGCAGCAGCAACAGCAACAGCAACAGGAGGAGTTCCCCATAGACGCTGTTGCTGCGCTGCTGTGCCCAGCAGTGGCGCCCGTAGCCGTGCTGCGCTCAGTGCAGCCGCAGCTGCTGACAGCTAGCAACAAGCTTTCACATCTGGCCGGAGGGCAGCAGCCTCTTGATTTATTCGTAAGAGGTGCAACTGTTTCTCTTGGAAACATGGTGCTGACTCAGCTCTCCCAGCCTGCTGAAGATCCGCAGCAGCAGCAGCAGCACCCGAAGCAGCACAAGTTAGCCAGCGGGCTGCTGCTGCACTCACAAAGATCTTGCGTGTCAGCAGTGGCAACAGCCTTGGCAGCTAACTTTCCAGTGCTGCTGACTGGAGAGAGAGGCGGAGGTAGGAGCCTGTGTCTTTGTGCCTTCCAGCTCGCTAACGCCCTTTTTCTCCCCTTTTGCCTCCGTTTTTTCCTTTGGTTCTTCTCTTTGCGTTTAACATCGCCTGTGCGCCTGCGTTTACCGCTGCAGCAGTTTCCGTTTCTGACTCTGTCTTGTCGCTGTTTCTCTGTGCATGACTGAGTCTTGCATTTTGCTGCTGCTGTCAACATCCCCTCCGCATCTTCTATTGTCTCCTTGCGCATGCTTTGCGTGCCTTTGTCTTTGTTTGTGCTTCAGGGAAAAGCAGCATTGTGCGGTGGCTGGCTGCAGCATGGGGCTCTGAGCTGTGCGAGGTGCAGCTGGCGCCTTCAGTAGACACTTCAGACTTGCTTGGAGTGTACAGACAGATACAGCCGAAGCACAGACTTCTTCAGGCAGCTCGAGCAGCAGACGAAGTAGCAGAGGCGCTTCAACGACAGCTATGCCGAAACACGGTATCGACACGAATGCAACAGCAGCAGCAACAACGGGGGCAGGAGCAGCAGTGCAGGAATGGCAGTGGTGGAGATCTGGCGAAGCAACTTGAAGATCTTCGAGCTGCTGCTGCTGCTGCAAAAGAGAAACTGGTGGAGGCAGTGGACGCAGAGGCTGCTGCCTGTACCACAGAGGACGCGCCAAGAGCAGCTCCTGAAGCACAGCAGCAGCAGCAGCAACTGCAACAGCGGCTTGCTGAGGAGACTGCAGCACTGCTGAAAGCGTGCGAAAAGGCTGCGACCACTCTCTGCAGTGGGCTGTCTGGTGACAACTCACCAGCAGCAGCAACGACGGCAGACTTTGCTGCTGTACAGCGGCGTCGCCAGCAGCGAGCTTGGCGGCTTCTCTTTCAGGGCTGCACCCTCGCCGGCTTGGCGCACGTTTTGGAATCGGTTTCCTCATCCTCTGCTGCCGCTGCTGCTGCTGCTGCTGCATGTTCCCAAGAAGAAATGAGTCAGTTTGAGTGGGTGGACAGCGCCCTGGTTGCTGCTGTTCGTAAGGGGCAGTGGCTGCTGCTGCGAGATGCCCACCTGTGCAGTGCCTCTGTCCTGGACAGGCTCAATGCGCTGCTAGAGGACGGGGGGTCCCTTCTGTTGACTGAAGGTGGAGCTCCAAGAGAAGTCAAAAGGCACCCCAACTTCCGCATTCTGCTGACAGCAGAGGCAGCCAACACGCACCTCTTATCTGCAGCACTGAGAAACAGGTGCTGCGAGATCTACGTCCATCCCCCAGGCACAGCAGCAGCAGGAGCTCCTGCTGCTGTGGCTGCAGAGCTGCAGTCCCGAGCTGCGTCCGCGGCCACAGCAAAAAGCAGTGGAGCAAAAGATAGACCAGGCGAGGCGACAGAGTTGAGCGCAGCAGCAGTGCCAGGGGCACGGCAGCCGCTGCTTCTCCAGGGGCTGACTGAGCAACTTCTGCAGAACCTTGCAGCTCTTCTGAAGGGCTGCGGGACTCCAAAAGCAGCAGAATCAAGTGAAAAATGTGCCCTTCACTTGCTGCTTTCTCGATGGTCTTATGCATTGTTTGACTCAGAGCTAACTGCAGATGGAGTGGAGGATACAGAGGTTACAAAAGCTGCTGCAACTCTGCAGGTCGCAGGAGCGTTCGTGTCATTTTGTCTCAACAGCGCCCAACTTCCCGCCAGCACCGGCGTGAGCAGCACTGAGAGTACTTATAGCAGCAGAAGCTTCAACCCAAGGCTCTGTCCGCTTCTGCTGCAGGACAGCTATCGTCTTATTCTGGCAGGAGATGCAGGGTACCTTCCCGCGGCTGCTGCAGAAGTGATGGCCCTGCAGCACACAGCAATGCAGCTGCTGCTGCAGCTGCTTGGTGACGAAGCTGCATTGTCGCTTTTTGCACAGCGTCTCCAGAGCTTTTTGTCTGACAATCCGCAACCCCACCAAGCGGATGCGGAGAACCAGCAGCAGCAGGAGCTGAAGCAGCGACTGCAGCAGCAAGTTGTCAAGGATCTGCAGAGCCTTAAAGACACTTTGGGGGCTGATGCTGTTGCTGTCGGATTTGCAGGGCTGCAGCGCCTCGCACGCGGAGTCGCAGCAAAGAGCGGCAAAGATGCAACAGCAGCAGCGGCAGCAAGCTGGAGATGCCTGCAAGGATGGGGCAGCGCCTACGCTGCTTCCCAAGCCCAAACTGCTTCTAATAGAAAGCCTGAAGCAGCAGCAGCAGCCGCACAGCTAGGATCAGCGCGGGACCGTGAAATATGCTTAGACAACCTGTTTCAGTGTTTCCTGTGGCAGTACACGGCAGCTCTCGACTCCTCAGCCACCTGGCGGTTGTTGCTGCTGCACATGCTTGCCGCATGCTGCTGCTGCTGTTCGCCTTCTGCCTCTGAGGAAGCAGTCCGGTCATCATGCGCAATTCAGGAGATAAAACACCGCAGCAGCAGATGCGGACACAAGGGGCTGTTGCAGAGCAGCGACTGGGAGATCCTGCGCGGGGCCGTAGAACGACACCTGCTGCACCAGCAGTGCAGCGGCCACAGCTGCAACAGCATTGGCGGTGCAATCTTATGGGCATCCGTTGCATGCGAAGTTTCTTTCGTGGAAAGTGTGTTTGCTGTTTGTGCTGAGAAGGCCGATGAAGGGCTGCTGCTGCTGGCTGCTGCTCTGCGCCTCTTTTTGTGGGGAGCAACTGACGACAAGGATCTCTTGCAGCGTGTGCAAGTACTCGAGCAGATGCAGAAGCAGCAGCAGCGGGGTGGGCCTGCTGCGCAGTATCTTGAAGCTGCATGCAGCGCCTTACATGACGTTGCAGAGGAGCCTGTTCTTCTGCCTGCAGCGGCGGCAGACGCAGCAGCAGCAGAAGCAGCAGAAACAGGCGGTAGTGCTGTTGCCCATCTCCATGGTCAGTCTCTGCTATATGCAGCGGGGCGCCTGCTAGAAACAAACTGGGCCCCTATCCGGTCTACGCGATTCCTCATAAAGGACAGTAGTGATGTGCAAGAGCAGCAACAGCAGCAGCTGCGCCAGTTATTGCTCCAGGATCTCATATATTTGCAGCGCGTGGAGTGCATGGCTATGCTGCTGCCTCGGCGGTTGCTGCTGCTGAATACGCGAGTGAGCAGCAGCACGGCTGCAGCAAGGAAGTGCCCGTGCTGCAGTTTGAAAGGACTGGAGGCTTCTTGGTGTCTTTTATTTGCATGCGTCGGCTCGGCAGATCAGGAGGAGGCGTTAATGCAATCTGAAGAAGCCAACGCAACTGCTGCAAAGGTAATGCGCCATCTGTTTGACGGCCTTAGGCAACTGGCAAGCCCCACTTTGACAGCAGCAGCCGGCATCCTGCGTGCGCGGCTGGCCACTGCAGCAGAACCTGCTGATGCTGCTACCGTGGCTCTGTTTAGTGGGCTAAAGGAACAGTGCAGACATCTTGCGCGCTGTTTCAGCGCCTGGGTGGCTCTTCTCCAGTTGTTCTCCCTTCCGCTCTGTGGGCGGTGCCAGCATATAGGCGAAGCAACGCCGCATAGCACCAGCAGCAGTAACAGCAGCGACGGCAGCAAATGGAGACCGCTGCCTGGGCCTCGCGATAAGATGCGGAAGCTGCTGGAGGCTCTTGGAGCGTCAGTGTCTCTCCGGATTGATATGTTCGTAGAGAGCCTGCATGCATTTGTGGCGGCAAATGACTCTGCTTCTTCCGCAATTAGAGACCTCAGGGGACACCAGGACTTAAAGTCAGCTGCGGCCGCAGAAGCAACGGCAGAGTTTATTGCTGCTGAACTTATTTCGCCTTTACAGCTTATGCAGGGAAAATTCACCTGTGCAAGCGGCTCTATAGGCCTGCCGGTTTTGGCAGAGGAAGCAGAAAATGATTTGTTGCAGCCGTTTGAGAAACAGCCGCAGCAGCTTTCACTGCAGCAGCAAGGCCCCGTAAAGGTGCGAGCACCAGGTGGGCTATGGGGCACAGACTTGCAAGGTGCTACTTGGCCCAGCAGCAGGTGGAAGTGTCTGGTGCCTGTCCAGCTGGGGCAGCACGAGGCCCGAACTGTTCAGGGTTGGCTGCTGCGCGAGTTGCTCAATGCAGCAGTTCTTCGCTTTTCTTTATCTGTGGATTCCGCAACAGCAGCGGCAGAGGCAGCAAGCCTAGCAGCTGCAGAAGCAGCCGGTTCGACAAGTCAGAGTATGTCCGTGATAACTGGAGAGCAGCAAGGAGCTTTGCTGTTTCGCCGGTTTACATGCACAGCCCCTTCTTTAGGCCTAGCTGTCGACTTGCTGTTGCACACAGGAAGCCCTTCAGAAGGCGGCATCGTTCAGGACGCCTCAGAAGAAGAGCAGCTGCAGCAGCAGCAGCGGCTGCCACAGCCGCGTGCGCTCCTGCTGCATGCGTCTGCGCTGCACGCGCTGCTGCTGAGCAGCTCCTTACTGCGAGCTGAAGGCCGCACGGAGGCAGCAGAGCGACTAGAGACTCGAGTCTGTGATGCGCTGTTACCTTCGTACGAGCCAAAGACAGCAGTGACTGCTGCTGCTGCTGCTGCTGCTTCGCCTTTGCTGGTGACCAAGAGACAACGCAGAGCCGCAGCTCTGCGTGCAGCAGCTGCTGCATTGGGGCTGCTTGACAGCCGTCATCATCACTGGGCTTGTCTTAGCAGCACGTCCATGGTCTCAGTCAGTCTGCTGCAGGCGGAGTTAGCAGCTGCTGGCGCAGTTCTGCTGGGGCTGCAGCAAGCAGGGGAGTTGCTGCTTCTGCATCTGTGTATGTCCTCAAACGCTCATAGTAATGACGCTTCTATTGCTGCTGAGCTCCCTAGCCATGTTGCTGCTGCAGCGCTGGGCTCGGCGTTGCAAAATGCTGTGCAGATGCAGCTACAGCAGCAGCAGCAGGAGCTTCTGCCTGTTTTTTCTATTCCAGCTGCGGCCATCTCGGCTCTACATTTTGGAGATGCGTCAGGTGCATGCAGCAACTCTTCTATGGCAGTACCGGTACCTCCGTCTCTACTGGAAGCACCCGCCGTCTTCACAGCCAGCGTCTGGGAGCAGCAGCAGCAGCAGCGAGTGCCCACGAAGCAGCAATCCGGTGACAGCATGCAGCAGCATGCCTCTCATTTTATTGCATGCGCCGCTGTAGAGGTTCTGTCTTTGATGTGGCGGACGGAACTGGACATGCAGTGCAACGATGCATTCGGCCTGAGACGTGTGCTGCACCTGCAGCAGCAGCTTCAAGATCTGAGTCCAGCTGGGAAAGAAGCAGCAACTGGGCTAAATGCAGCAGCAGCGGCAGCACTAGCGACAGGTGCAGGGTTAGAACATTCCGTGGCTTTGCTGCCCTCGCAGGCTTTGGCTCGTCTTGCAGAAGTAGCTGGCGGAATGCGGGGTGCAGCAGCTGCAGCAGCAGCAGATGCCCATCGCGCTGCCTCGGGACCCCGGGTAGGGCGCAGGCACCTGCGAGTGGGTCTTCTTGAGACGATGGCTGGGGAGAGCGCTTGCACGTGCACTGCACGAATTGTTCTTGAAGTGCAAGAGCACGCGACTGTCTCTTCAGCAGCAGGTTGTTTCGTTGTGCTGCAGCGGCTGCGGCGGCAGCTACAGCGCAGAGACAGGCATAGCAGAGGCACAGACAGGCTACTGTCGGTAGGTGCCTCAAACGAGACATTGAAAGAACTAGACAAGAAAGAGCTGGCACTGGATATTAGAAAGGATTGTCCTGCAGCAGCAACGGCAGCTGCTGCTGCGCAGTGGGCAGCAGTGTTCGGTTTCGCTGCAGCGCTTTGGTCATTCTGTTCCTGCTTTAGCAGCAGCGGAGACGCTAGGGAAAGAAACATCGGGAAGAAACTGTCTAGGGAGGCAAAACAGGAACCTGAGGACAGCAGCGGAGATAGTGAAGACACAAAGGCTGCTTTGCATGCAATTAGAGAAGCTTGGTGTGGACTTGCGGGGTTGCTGAGGGGCGGGGCGGCTGTGGATGTTTCAGCGGCAGCAGCAAGCTCGAAAGCCGCTGCAGCAAAGCTGCGCGCAGTCGTTAAGCGTATGAATGATAGATTGGAGACTGCAACAGAGGGACCATCATCTGCTCTTGCCACTGCTGAGCAAAGAGAAGCAGCAACAAGAGCGCGCAGCTTGGATGCCGGTCGAAGCGCGCTTGCCGCTCTGCTGCTTCTTGTGCAGCTGCTAGAGGACTGCGCAGCAGCAAAAGACCCCTTGGTGCTGCTGCAGGGCAGCGCTGGCAAACGTCGGCGGGGCCTGCTGCTGCTGGTGCTTGGCAGGTGGGCAGTGCTCACTGCAGCAGCAACCGCTGCAGACCTTCTGCAGCAGCGACGGGACGTTGTCGCGTGGCGCAGCGCTGTTGAGGCAGAATCTGAAAACTATGAGCTGGAGGTAAGATAACATAAAGTAGCCGTGTGTCATTTCAAATTCTCATGAGCATTGACCACAATAAATGAGTCGGTTCAAACTATATTGCCCTTTGTCTTAAACTCACTGCTGCATTTGGTGCCACTGTGGCTTCTGTGTACTGCAGAGAGAGGCGCTGCTTCTGCGGGCCGCGGCACTGGATGGCAACGTTGACTTGCCCTTGGGCATAGGGGGAGGTACCTCCGTTTCTATAGCTCTTGCTGCTGAGGCGGAAACGCATGTTGCTGCACTTCAGCAGCTGCTGCAGCAGTCTAGCAATGCAGATAGTTTGCTACAGCAAATATCGCGCTTGCTGCCCGTCCATGCTTCAGATATCCCAGCAGACGTCGCCCGGCGCCTGACGTCACAGCTGCTGCCGTCAGCAGCAGCTGCAGCCGCAGCAGCAGACGCAGAAGCAGTCGAAAGTGACAAAACAGCTGCTGCACAGCAGCAGGCGCTGGAGCGCATTAGCCGCAAGTGTGTAGTGGAAGTGCCACCCGAGGTAGCACTAGCCAGCTGGCTCGAGGACCTTCTTGAATTCGTGCGAAGCACGCTGGAGGCAAAAACGTGCGTTTACAGACGCATCAAACTAGCAGCAGCAGCAGCACGGGAAAGAAATGCATCAGTGTGACTGAATGCAGCAACAGCAGCAGCAGCAGCAGCAGTTGCTCTGAAAGGGGTTAGCTTCCAGGCGTGTGGCTCATGCCGGCGCTGCCTCTCCATTCCTCTTCCAAAATTTTGCGTGTCTATTTTTGCCTTGTGTTGCAGCTTGATCTCCCTGCTGCCTGAGTTGGAGCCGCTGCTGCGTGAGGAGGACTGCGCCGGGGCAAATGGCAGGGCCGAAGTGTCTTCTGCTGCATCAGCTTTAAGGACAGCAGCAGAAGCAGCTGCTGCGTGCAGCAGCAGACTCGCTGCATCACACCCCTTCCTCATTGCTCCTGCTGTTCGAACAGCAACGACGGGTCTCTGGGCAGTTGCGAAGGGCTTTTTAGACACTGCAGTGGCTACAGAGGAGCTACCCCCGCCACAGCATGCAGAGCAACAGCAGCTAAAAGTGCAGCAACAGCTGCTGCCGTTGCCTGCTGTGGCTGAGCTGCTACAGCGAACAGCCGCGTTTCCAGCTATGCCTTTTGCTGCGATGACGGCGGCCAGTGTCAGTGAGGGGACGAGCGTACTGCAACCGATGCAGCGAGCTCAGTGGCTTCTTTTGTGGTTGTGTGCCGAAGCAGCAGGAGCTGCAGCAGGAGCTGCAGCAGGAGCTGCAGCGGGAGATGCAGGAGCCACGAAGAAAGCCGTAAAAACAACAGCAAGCACCAGCAATAATCTCTCATTGTGCTTCGCCGCTGCACGCGGGTCCCTCGCGCTGTTGCTGCAAGAGATATCACAGCGGCACTTGGCCTGGAGGCGGCAGCAGGAGATCGCTGCAGATGAAACAGCCACGCTGCTGCAGCGCCTTGAGGGCCTCGTGATTGACCGTGCAGCAGCAGCAGCAGCAGGTAAGAGCAGAGGCGATGCAGAGGCGGCACAGGAACTTTTCCCCTGCAGCGCAGAATGGAGGAGAAATGAGCAGCAGCAAGACCAGCTAGAGCTGCAGCAAGAGGAAACGGACCAAGATCGCACGCAGTACACGTCATGGTGTAGTCAGAACGTCGCTTACAGAGAGGAAGAAGGAAGTCTAAGGGAGAAGCAGCAGCAGCAGCTCGCGCTGCAGCAGCTGGAGGGCCTTACCGAGGCGGACCTGCTGCATCTGTGGGGCCGCGCTGTTGAAACAGCCTTTGCCTGGAGTGGCAGCAGCAGCAGCAGCAGCGGCCCACGAGAAGTCGACGGCGAGCTTGCAGCAACAACAGCATACCGCGAGGCACTGACTGTGGGTCGTGCTTTGTTTCGGATTTACCTCTAGTGACTCAATTTGAATTGAGCTCTGCGCAAGTCAAATTGAGTCACCATTAGACACTCCAGAAAAAGCTGTGGTGTACGTACAGTGAAACTGCTGCACAACCGTAATGCCTCAGTATGCTGCCGTTGTGTCTTTTCAGGGCTCGTTCTGCACTTTGCTGCATCTATACAACGCGGGAGCAGCCGCAATTCCCGCGAGAGGCCCCGAAGCTTATACAAAAGCAGGCCAAGTGGCGGCGCCCCCGGAGCTAGATGGGCTCTGCGCGCCTTATATGCATGCGCTTTTGTCGCAAACTGCTGCGTACCTCATAGGTGCCTCGCCACGTCAGCAGCAGCAGCAGGAACAGCAGCTGAAGCAGCTGCTGCTGCAGGATGAAGAGGCAACATCGGAAGCGCAGCAGCAGAGTGAAGACCCAGAGGCTTCCGAGAAAAGCGAAGAGGCGAATGACGTCGAGCAGCAGTTGCAGCAGGAAAGGCTACAGCAGCAACGGGAGCGCGCCCGCAAAATGCGTTTCGCGCAGTTGTGCCGCAGCATTACATCGGCAAGTGGCAGCAGCAGCAAGAGCGGGAGCACTGCGGCTGCAGCAAGCTCGTTTTATGCTCCCGGGAACCCTGTGCTGCTGCAGCCTATGAGTCGTGCTGTGCAGCAGTTCCAGGAAGCGTCTGTCGCTTTCACTGCAGTAGTAGAAGACCACCCTGTTTTGCAGGGGGTGCTGCTGATATCGCAGCGGGTTGCTTCTCTGAGCCTCCTAAACACTTCTCCCGCCGACGCGCTGGCGGCCCTCGAGGGCCTCCTAGACAGAGCCACAGCCTGGCAGAAGGCCATAGACAGGCACCACTTGGCCCACCTCATAGCTGTGCATCTGCGGCTGCCTGCTACTGCTGAGGCGACGACGGAGCCGCTGCAGGGAGCGCCGCAGGAGGGAGTCGCGGGGGATGATTCGAAATGTGAGGCCCAGAGCGGGGGCCAGAGGAGCAAAGAGCTTTCAAGCGCCCGTGCGGCGTTTCAGCAGCAGCAGCGGGCAGCAATGCAAGAAGCAGAGAGGCTGCTGCAGCGATTTGACCTCGCAGTGCTGGCTGTGGAGAGACAGGTGCTGCTGCTGCGTCGCCGCCAGCTGCTGGAGTGGCGCTTCTTGAGAGAATTCAGGGAACAGCGCATGCTACAGCAGAGTCTCCACTTCGCGCCGTTCTTATGGAGTTTGCTGCCAGATGATGGAGACCCTGCTCAGCCACCTCGCGAGGCACAAGCAGCAGCAGCAGCAAAAGCTGCCGCTGCTTTTGCTGCAGGTGCAGTCCCTGGGGGTGACCCAGGCTCACAGAGTCTGGCTGGTGCTGTCATGCTGCAGTTAATCCACAGCGCTCCCACAGCTGTAACAGATGTGCTAGTACAATTTTTGCGGACTTCTCCTTTGGGGCAGTTTGAGGGACGACTGAGATGCCTCGAAGCGGCTAGTTGTTGCAGACGCTTGCTGCAGCATCAGCAGCAGCAGCAGCAAGGGGCCACTACTGGTTCGGGACCTATAAGCAAAATGAGAGAGGCAGACATACTGCAGGGTGAAGCTGCCTCTAGAGAGTCATGTGGAGCAGAGGTGGTGACTGTCGCTATGGCTGCTGTTGCTAGGTTTGCTGTTGCTTCGGGGTGGCGGCGCGCAGTGCAGCAGCAGCTGCAGGAAGGCCGGAAGGAGATGGACACTGCGATGAGCACTTTGGCATCTCTTGCGCGCTGGGACATTTCCAACAGAGCCACAATGAAAGAGTCCGTCGTTTATAGTCGCTGGTGCCATGCGTTTTGCTGCTGCTGCCCGGATTCCAACAAGGTGGCCCATTACGGGAGGGTTAAGAAAGTGGTTTGGTGCTGCCAAGTGCATGCACAAGTGCCTAGGGCAATTGTTTAGTCTTTGAAGCTTCTGTGTGCTTTTCTCTTGTGCTGCTGAAACTTTTTCTGCTGCATTCAGATCCGTCCATAGGACTCACGTACAGCTTGCCAAACATATTCGCAACTTTGACAGCTGCCTACAACAGTTGATGCAGGCAGCCACAGGACCTTCTCAAGCCCGTTTGCAGACACAGCTCGTTTCTGCTGTGCTGTCCTTGCCTGTGGAGTCACCCTTGACTGCTGCGCGGCTGGCGGCGGAGAAGAAAGCAGGTCTTCCAAGCAAAAGCAGCGCGCAGTCTGCTTCTTCACCAGCAGCAGTGTCATCATCAGCAGCAGCAGAGGGAGCAGCAGCAGCCGCAGCAGCAGCAGTTGTGCAGGTATTCTTAAAAAGCTGTTTGGGTCTGACTGATACGGATGCTGTGGAGGCAGCACCGGTGCGAGATCTGCATGCATTCAGCAGCGAATCGTCAAGTGCAGCAGAAGTGGCGCTTGACGTGCAAGCGTTTTGCCAGGAGTTTGCTGCTTCTATAAAGGAGGCTCATGCAGCATCTACAGCAGCAGCAGCCTCGGAGCAGCAAGAAGGTCAGCCCCAGTCTGAGGCTCCAGCAGCAACCTCATCAAAACCAAAAAAGATCACACGACAGCAAATGCTTAGACAGTTTACATACTTCCGGTCGATGCTGCGCAACGACCTTAAGTTGCCATGTCTCCCAATGTGCGGGAACGCGCGGGGCCTCTTCGCTGCAGCCCTGAACGACGACAGCGGCCTGCCGGGCCCCCCGGGCGCCCCCCATCCGCTGCAGCACGCAGCTTCTCTGCAGCAACACGACACGGCGGCCCGGGCAGCAGCAACATTAAAGCGCGTGAAAGGGGGCGAGGCAGGCATGGCTAGCTGGTCAGCAAAAGCCGAGACTGCAGCGGGCACTCCGAAATCTGTCGGAGACCTCCTAGGCGACACATGGTCATCTGCTGCGCAGCAGTGGTATTTGACGTTGCAGACGCTGCTGCAGTGTCAGGAGCATTCTTCACCACACAAGGACGTGGCGGCTTACCGTGACTGCTTATTGGGTTTTGCTGCTGCGCTGCTATTGCATGCGCTGCAACAGCGGAGACGCTGCTGGCAGGCCGCGGCGGAGTTTCAGGAGCTGGCGGATGCCGCCGCTGTCTCATTGGCGGCTCCTTCTGTCTCAGTCCCTGCTGATGCAGCTGCTGCTCTACTGGAAGCAGCAGAGACGCTGAAGGAGGGTCTAAGGCAGGCCCGTGCAGTACTGCCAACTGTACACGAAGCAGCCGTGCAGAATGACGCGCTTGAAATTGCCTTCGCCGTTCCCGACGCCTCTGCAGCTACTTCGGGCATTCGTGGGGCTGCTGCAGGCGCCCTCGGAGTTCCTGGTGAAGCTGGTGCCGCTGCAGCTTCAGCTGTTGCTGCTGCAGCAGTGGAAGCAGACGAGAAGCGGACACTGCGGCATGACGTGGAGCATGTACGCAGGGCGAGAAACGTAATGACCAAGGCACTGCAGGAGTTGGAGAAGCTACAGCAGCTGCTACGGGACACTCCCGAGGCGAGGCGTCTTGCTGTAACTCGAAGAGATACTTCACCAGAGGAGCTGCAGCCCTCAAGTGCGCTTATGCGCGTGCGAGTCCAGTGGCTGGAGGGCATTAGGGCTGCATGCACTGCGGCAGTGGAGCCCGTGAAATCAGCGGCGGGCCTGAAAGGCAAGGGGGAAGATGCCGATGTGCTATCAGATATACTGCCATCACATGCAGCAGCAGGTCTTCGAAAGGCATGTACTGCGCTGCAGGCGAGGCATGCTGCTCTTGCTGACGCAGCTGCACTAGCTGCTTCTCAGGAAAAAACAAAAAGCAAAAACAGGAGGCTGGCTGCAACGCTTGAAGCACTTCGCAAGTCCCTTAAACGATGCGGAGGACAGGCCTCGCAGGGCCAGCAAATCGACAGTCTTATCCAAATTCGCAGCAGAAGTGCTGGAGACATGCTGCCGTTGTATCAAGACGAGAAAGAGTTGCAGCAGCCTGTGTTTGATAGCCTGCCCTTGCCCCCCCTCGATTGTCTGTTTCCCTTCAAAACCTGCACTGCTGCAGTTGATGCATTCGGCACTGCAGCGCCGGCGTATCTCTCTTGCCCGCTGCTGCAGCGTGGGGCTGCTGCTGGCGCTGCAGCAGCAGCAACTACAGCGGCGGCTGCCAGAGGCGTCGCGTTGCAGATGCTGCAGCGGGCTGCTGCTGTCCTGTTGTCCGCCTTCGATGCTCTGGAAGGAACAACTCGGCTATGCCTGAGTTTTGTGCAGCTGCTACTAGTGCTGCTGGATATTGGATTTGGGCGTTTGAGTAACGAAGAGGAGGCAGCAGCATCTGAAGCAGCAAGGCCACAGAAGCAAAAGAATGTATTGGAATCAGGTACAGGACTGGGGGAGGGAGATGCACTCCGGGACGCTGAAGAACCTCCCCAAGATGAGTGGCAATTCGACGGTCTTAAAGATGAAAAGGCAGACCCTCACCAGAAACCTCCCGAAAAGCCGAAGACAGACGAGGAGGTAATAAACCACAAACATCCCCGCCAATACCTTAAACCCTGGGAGCTAAGCCTCAACTTCAGAACCGTCAGCGCAGTTTGCTGGGGAGCTTCGCTGCGAAGCCCTAGAACGTAGACCTCAAGTCCCAGAGCCTATACTGAACCCCACGGCTCTGCCCATACACCCCTTACCGCGAAGTCCCATTTCCCATTCTAGGGCGTCTGGCCCGGGACTTAGTTTGTCTCATCTGCTGCTGCTCTGCTCCGTGTGCATGCAGGACAAGGCGCTGGAGGTCTCGATGGACTTCGAAGGAGAGTTGGAGACCCTGCCGCCGAAACAAGACGGAGATAAGGAGCAGGAACAGAAGCAGGGGGAGGAGCAAGTGGAATCGGTTGCGGGGCACGTGGACTTGGAAGAAGGGGGCAAGCTGGAAGACAAGAGATGGATGGGAGAGGACAATTCGGATGACGAAGCAGATGGAGACAAAGACAAAAACACGCCACAGAAAGAAAAAATAAAGACTGAAGGAGGAACAGGGCTAGGGGAAACTGAATTGGAGGCTGCGGAGGACCCCACCGACGAGTCCGCCAGCAATGACACAGACCCAACAGACAACCAACAAAAGAAGCAGCAGCAGCAGCAGCAAGAGGGAGACGATGGAGGTGAATTGGTGGTGAGTCTAGCAAACTTTAATGTGGATGCCTCTTGCTGCTTTTGTGCTTATAGAGACTTAATTATTTGCCTTATTGGCCGGTCAGAAGTTGTGTGCTGTTTCTTGCTGCATGCGCTGCTGCTGCTGCCGCAGGACCCCACAGCAGACGCGAAAAAGGAAGAAGAGCAGCAGAAGCAACCTGTTTACCACCAGAAGCTGCGAGGCCGCGATCTTGGGACAGAAGAGGAGTTAGATGGTGATGCGGAGGAGGAGGGGGCTGGAGATGAACCCACGGAAGAGACACAAGACACAGGTGACGCAGCCGATGAAGACGGGTGCGACCAGGACGAGCAGCAGCAAGAGCAGCAGAAGGTCACGGGGGAAGGCGCTGCAGAGGGATGGGGAGATGACATGCAACTTGACGAAGGGACCCTTGACGAGGAAGGTGAAGAGGGGGAAAACGGTGGTGACTCTCCTGGGGAGGATATGGGGACCCAAGAGGAAACAGGTGATGCAGCAAACCAGGAAGATAGTGCTGCAGCTGATGCAGCAGAAGGCAGCAGCAGCACGGGGGATGACGCAGCGGCCAATGACGAGGCAGCAACAGACCAGCCGGAGGCACAAGAGCAGCAGACAAGGGACCCACAGCAGCAGCAACAGGAAAACTTAGACGACGAAAATGCTCCAGAGGGAGAAGACAACAAGGATGCTCCCGACGCAGGCACGTCGGAGGTACCTGAAACAACTGAGGACACAGAGGATATGGAGACAGGAGAAGCAGAAGAGAAAGGAGGAGACGGAGAGGGGCCTCAGCATGATCCATCAAAAGAGGGTATGCTTTTGTGTACATCGCGACTGAAACTTTTTGCTTTTTTTTCTACGCCTGTTGGCTCTTAATCGTGCGCTGCTGTATGCATTGCATGCATGCAGCAATATGCCACGGGATGGCTGCACAGTGTTGCTTGCTTATGACCATATAATACACGATTTTACGTTCAAGATAAAACAGAGCAACTTATGCAGTGGCGCTTTTGTAGAAATGTGGCAGAGACGGGGTCTTTGATCTTTGCGGGTCAAACAGTGGGGGAGGGGCGCTGCCGATGATGATACTAAAAGGCCTCTGCAGCATTTCCTTTGGTGCCTGTAAAGGCCCAAGGAGAAGCTAGAGATGAAACCGAGCCAGAGAGGGAAGACAGAGATGCTGATACGTCTCTGTCTTGCAAGTGCTGAGGCCGCTCTTCTCCCCCATGCGTTTCGCGTTGATTAAGTTTCTTTGTAGCATGAAATGACCTAATGAGCTTACGGGGCACATAAGCTAAGCCGCGTCTGTCCTAAAGTGTGTGGCCGTTGCTCTTTGCTCTGCTTAACGAATTGCTCATTAGTGATGGACCCTGGGAATGGCCGATAGTCGGGGCTTCAATTAACATATTTTTAAATGTCCACTTGTTGATCATTGTTGCAAATTCGGCGACGCCTCTCGCTGCATCTAAATCGTTAGTGCACAAATTGTTTTGCTTACCGTTCTTTTTGATGCTGTTGCTTGTGCTCTCGCTGGTGCATATTTCTCCTTGCTGGGGCGGCGTGTACTTTGCATTTGCACTGCCCCTTTGGTATTCAATCTCTGTGGCTGCTGCAGCAAACTCCGCTATCACACGGTTGCTACGTATGTATATTTGCTGCTGCCGCAGGTCTTGCTGCGCCTCTAGAAGCGGAGCCGCCAGCAGATTCTTCAGAGCCCCAAAAGCCACCGAAGCCAGAACAGGACAAAGAGCGGATGGCCTTCGGTATAGAAGGCGAAGGCAGGTGAGCGGATTGGGAGTGCTAGTGGTTCTTTTAGCCTGGCCTGTCCTTGGTATGGCTCCCACAGATATGCGTACATGCATGCATGCATGCATGCATGCAAAGCAGCCTAAATATACTTGTGGGGCTTGGTACGTCCTGCGCTGTGCGCACGCAGCCTTGTGCAGCGCGAAGCAATGAAAGAGGATGAAGACAACGGATTCGATGTTGGGAACAATGCTGAGGACAACTGGGATCGTGGAGGAGCAGCGGATGCTGCTGCTGCAGGAGCAGCAGGCGGCTCCTTGAGTCGCAGCAGTGCAGCCGACGGTCTGCAACGACAAGAAAAGTCGCAGGCAGCACGCGAGCAGCCCAGTATGATGCCAAACAACCCTCTGAATGACGACAGCGCAGTGGAGCGGTGGCTCCAGCAAGTGCATTTGCTGCAGCAGCAAGAGCACGAGCAGCAAGGGGAGGAGGAAGGAGAGGCGCCTGTGAGCCTCGAGGGCGATGCAGCAGAAGAGAAAGCGCAGATCGAAAATGATTTGCGGCGGGGACAGCTCTGTGCTCAAGACAACGCCGCGGGGACCCATGAGGCCTTTGCAGAGACAACAGAAACACAAGCAAACCAGCAGCCGCCCGAAGCCAAACTGGCAGAAACGGACAGCAAGTGAGAAGCAGGCAGATTGCAACAAGTGGCTGTTGCTGCCACAAAAAGCAGACTATATAAATGCTATCAAAGGAGCAAGGTGAAGATGTCTTGGCCCTGCATTTCCTTTTGTCGGGGAATCCTTCGCACTTGTAACTGGCCGATGCGCCTCAGCACGTGCAGCGAGCTGCTGCTTCTTTGTCTCTGGGGCTGCGATAGAGTTCGGATATTTTTGCCTTTTCAGGGGCCCCCTTCTGCCTAAGTGCTATGATTTTGATCTGCGACAATTTGTTCATCTTTGTTGCGCTGCGGCACAGGGAAGAGGAAGAGGGCAGAGAGAAAAATCTAGACGAAATGGAGCACGGTGAGCTGGGATGGTTTCAATGCATTGCCTGCAAGATCATGGGCCGCGTGTTCAGTAACCTTTGCTCAAATATTGTCTTTTCTTGCAAACGTCACGTTCTACGGTCTAGGGTTTAGGATTTAGTCTGTGTCTTTTTTTGCTGCAGGTGAGAAGCTGCTGTCTACAACTGCCACGGCTGATCCGCTAAAGACCCAGCAGGAGGAAAAGCCCGAAGAGCTGCCTGTGCAGCCTGAGGGGGACAACGCCGAAGCAATGGAGACAGACAACTTGGACACAACGGAGACAGATTCCCAAGGGGAGGCTTCTGAAGAACTGTTTCAGCGACTTAGTGGTCCGCCGCAGACAGACAGCGCAACAGATGGCGCCTGGGAGCAGCAGCAGCAGCAGCAGACACAGCCGCCGCAGGGCCAGCAGCGACAGGGTCACGAGGCTGAAGAGGATGAGGAGAAGAGATTGGAAAAAATGGAGACCGATTTCAATGGGAGACTGTCTCTTGATAATGTTGGAAAGGAGGGACTCTCTCCTGAGCATGCAGCAGGTGAGCAGGCTTGCGATTTTGCATGCAAGATTATGTTTGGGCTTGCATGCTCACCCATGTTTTTTTGCGGTGGCCTTCTCGTCATATTCATATTCCTGCATAGACTCCTGAGTGCAAATTTGCATACATTTGTGCATCTGGCACACAGATGCATGCTTCCATACAGAATTATGCGTGCTTCTCTGGAGATAAGCACATAGATTTAATCTATCGTGTTGTTACTCACAAATACGTGAGCTTCCTCTTCATTTATGTGATTAGGATCTCTGAACTTCTTTTGTTATTTCCTTTCTATTGATGTTTCGAACTGTTTGCATGCGTGCCTCGGGGCCTTGCTCTTTTGCTTCAGCTCTTTGGCATCTACTGGAGCGCCGCACAGCGACTGCTGCTGTGGCCCTCAGCGAGTCGCTGCGTCTCGTACTGCAGCCCACAGCAAATGGGGCCTGGGAGGGGGGCTACAGAACAGGTACAACTCATTGCAAGTAATGCTGTTGCTGCTGCTGCGGCGGCGGCCTGTGTTCCGTGTTATCCGTTTTAATTCTTAGCCAGAAGAAGCTATACAATTCACCCTACTAGCTATCGCAACTTCGGCAGAAAGTTCAGTTTAACTGAGAAAGGGCCAGCCCATTCCCCAGACAAAGAGAGTGTCCCAACGTATTAAATCCTTGACCCAGATAAAAATGATCAGATTAAGATCTATTTCTTGGCTTCTGGTTTGTTTGATTTGTCAATTTGCGTTCAGGCAAAAAACTGAGCCTAAGGCGGGTGCTGGCTTACATCGCCTCCTCGCAGCGCGACGACAGGCTGTGGCTAAGACGCAGGCGGCCAAGGGGCCTCCGCTACCGTGTCCTTGTGGGTATTGACTGCAGCAGATCTATGCAGCAGCTGCAAGCAGCAGGAAGCGCATTGGAAGCCATTGTGCTGCTCTCACAGGCGTTCAACCACCTACAGGTACAGGCCCTCTCGCTGTTTCTGTCGCTGCTGATGTTTTTGTTTCTGCACTTGTTGCTGCTGGTGATGGGCGCCGCCCTACTGTCAGTGCAAGTTTCTTACGGCTACTTGTAATTATCCAAACACATATACGCATGTGCGTGTGAATTCAATTCGGCAGTTGTTCGTTCTCTTTGGTTTTCTGTTTGGACTTACATTGCTGCGCGACTATTGTCGGCTCTTGCTGCTACATCACGCAGCATAGATACACCGTGGACGTTACATGCTCTTTGAACGTGTCGAGTACTTTCTTGTATGATTGTCTGGCCGGTTTCCTTTTTTCTCAAGAAACTTTTATATATTTTTATCTGACGAGGAAGACACAAAAATGGAGAGGGAGAGTCAGGCGTGCCATCGCCCCTCCCTATGAGCCTTTAGAATTGTAGTTTTCAATCCGAGTCCGAAAGAACAAAATGACAGCGTGTATTAAGTGGTGCATGCGTGCATGTTGCAGTTGTGTTGTCCATGCAAGCATGTTCTACCGTGTGCCTGCGCTGCATGCGTGCACATCGTTACTGCGTAGATGCTTGGACGTGTAAAACATAATGTTAATTGTCCCTCGCGAGGCTTTGTCTGTTGACAATTTTCCTCAGATCGGCACTGTTAGTGTCTGCACTTTCGGGGGACCCAAGCCCGAGGTCTGCATTCACCCTACCTCACAGGTCTCTGCAGCAGACGGCCAGCGGCTGCTGCAGTCCTGCAGCTTCAGGGAGGAGTCACACAAAAGCCACGAAGTGGCCATCTCTGACTTGCTGCAGCTGGCTATCCATGAACTGGAGCAAGACAGCAGCAACAGCAGCAGCAGCAATAGCAGCATGGTCCTCATTCTGTCAGATGGAAGATTCAACAAGGAGCAAACCAGGCCTTGGGTAAGCGCAGCGATTGCGAGGCGCTGCATTCCTCTGCTGCTTATATTGGATCCCCAGAAACAGCAAAAGCAGGATGAGATGCGGCTTCCTTGGAGTATAGGGGCTTCAGGAACCCCGGGGGTGCCAAGTGCAGCATCTGGGTACAGCACCAGCATATTCGACCTAAAGCAGGTCCAGCACCAGCCAGGGGGAGGCTTGGAAATAACGCCTTACTTGCAAGACTTCCCTTTCCCCTACTATGCTGTTGTAAGAGACACAGCACAACTGCCAAGTGTTCTCAGCGATATCATCAGACAGTGGGTAGAAGCCGCTGCCAGCGGATGGTAGCCAGGCCCCGCTGTTTGTGTGTTTCGGCCCTCTTTTCGTATTCAAGATCTGTATTAATAATGCAGCATGTTCAAGATCCGCATTAGTAATACAGCCTGTTCAAGATCTCGATTAATAGTGCAGCTTATTCAAGATCTGCATTGATAATGCGGCCCATTCAAGACCTGCATCCGTGATGCAGCGTATTCAAGTTCAGTGTTTAAAATGCAGCCTATTCAAGATATACATTAATAATGTAGCCTCCGGGTTGTAAACGCGTCAGAGTGAAGTCGCTTCTTCACTGACCTGTTGAAGGCCAACAGACAGCGCGCGTCATGCAATGAATGTATATTCTGCGAAACCTGGTATAAACTTGTTGAGGAGCAGCTGAAATAATGCACATTTATGCATGTATATATATGTAGTCGCACGCCGCATGTGTTATGTCCGCGGCCTTCAGCGTGCTTTCCATTTTCTCGAATTGCCCATAACTCGCCGGCCAGCGCTGACATCACTGCAGCGAATCCTCGGGGGCGTTTGGCGCTTTCGTTTTTGCAGAACTTTATTCAGGTGCCTCTAAGGAAACCCTTTTTAAATCCTTTACTCTGGAGCCAGATCTGGAAGCACTTGCTGTGCCCCGCAACCGTCTTGGGCAACATTTTGGCAACTGGCTGGCCAGTTAATTCGCTAGCGCCGCTCTCTCCAGATAACAGCTAGCTACAGGGTGACGGAGATATCTGACAAGTGCAACTATGATTGGGCGCTATTGAGTGCTCAGCTAGCTAGCGCCTTTGTTAGCCAGGTAGCACTGAATGGGCATCTAGCTCTGTATCCAGCTAGCTGGCCGGTCAGCCAGCTAGCCATTGAGGTACTGCCAATTCGCTGTGGCAACGGACACATAAAGAAGCTCCGAATCTGTCTTCTGCATATGTGGAAAGCGAAAAACATGTTACGGTGAAGCCAAAGCTGCTACGGGATCTCCCCAGAAGTAAAGACCCCGCTGCAGCGCATCATCCAGGAGCAAGACGGAGTCCTCTGCTGCTGCTGCTCCCCCCATTAGGGCTCTTTCTGCTGCAGCTCCCTCCTGCCGCCGACGCACGAGCAGCAGATGCAGCAGCAGCATCCACATCCTGACGGAATAGCAAATGACCGGGACAGCCAAAAAGCCAAACAATGGAAACTTTCCTTTCAGCCACACAACCTGCTGCAAAGGGATATTTATAAGAAAGAAGCAAGACGGAAGTCGCTTCATGGGTCTTTTCTAGAAAGGACAAGAGCCTTCTTACCTTTTTGAGAAGGGGCACTGAGAAACCGACTGCAGCAAACGTTCTTCCATCGCCTGCGCTTGCTGCTGCAGCTCATCTTCCTGCTGCTGCTTTTCTTCTTCATCCTCTTTCTGCTCCGTTAGAGACTCCCTAGGGCCAGCTCGCTGCTGCTGCTGCTGTGGATTCCACAGCCTCTCGCAGAGCCTCGCAATGGCCGTTCCGTCAAGGGACGCCTGCAGTGCAGCGGCGCTGCAGGAACTGCTGCTGCTGCTGCTGTTGCTGCTGCTGTTGCTGCTGCTGCTGAGAAGCAACGCTTGCAGGTAAACCCAAAACTGCTGCTCCCGCTGCAGCGCTGCCGTCCCGCAGGGCAGGCTATTGGGGGACCCCGGTAGCCGCTGCAGCAGCACAAATGGAAGAGCTGTGCTCCTAGTGGCGAACTGTGCATATCGTTCGAGCTGCCTGCAGCCGCAGCAACAGCAGCAGTAGCAAAACACACACGCAATACCAGCAGCGAGTTGTAAGAGGGCGATGCCTTCGCGGGGTAGCGCAGACTCACACAAACAGCCACGACTTCCGCTGCTGCAGCTACCTCTACAAAGGCTTGTCTACTGGGAACTTGCTGCTGCCTCTGCTTTTGCTGCCGTGGCTCCGCTGCTGCTGCTGCCGGCACTGCAGCACCACACCTTTGAGAAACAGCTTTCGCAGATTGGCTCGCAAGGAGCCACTCCGCCATAAATGCGCATTCGAGTGTTGCAGCAGAAGGCCACCAGTGCAGCGGCTGCGCCTTGCCTTCGGCTGTTGTTGCTGCTGCAGTTGGTGCTGCTGCAGGAGCTGCAGCTGCTGCAGCTGGAAGCCCAGTAGGTCCCAGCATCATCTCCTTATAGAGAGCCCGCACAGCGCCGCGTCCCCCTCTGTCTAAGCGCAAGACAAGCTAAGCCCAAAGCAGCAGCAGCAGCAACAGCAGCAACGGTATTCATGTCCAGCTTCAGCAGATGGCCACAGCAAGAAAGCAGTACGAAGGAGGCGCCCACGTAAAACTCATGCAGCAGAAATAGCAGCAGCAGCAACCAGTCTGCAAACTGCAGCAGAAACAGCAGCAGCAGCAACCAGTCTCTGCTGCTGCTGCTGCTGTTGCTGCCGCTCCTGCTGCTGGTGGGACTAGAGTCAGCTAGCCACTAAGGAGCAGAGAGAAACAACAGGGGCTACTTGCTGTTGCTTTTGCTGCTGCTTTTAATGCTGCTTTTGCTGCTGCTTCTGCTGCTGCTCTTGCCGAAAGGTAAACGCTTTGAAGTGCATGTGTGCTAACCTGTGTGTGCACCGCAAGGAAGAAAGGATTTGACGGGAAGCGCTGCAGCATCCAATGTGAAGCGCGCCGCAAAACAGAAGCATCATCTGCCTCTGTTGCTGCTGCTGCTGCTGCCGCTACCTCTCCATTTGCAGCGACTCTGGCTGCTGCTGATGTGCCACTCACAGCCAGCAGCAGCACTAAGACGAGAGACAGCGCCAACTCCTCACACCGCGCTGCTTCTGCGTTGCTGCAAAGACCCCATCGAGCTAGCGAAGCTGTGCTGCTGCAGCAGCTGCTGCTGCTGTTGCTGCTGGGGCCATTGCTGCTGCTCCGGGAGGCTGCATCCTGGCCAGCACTACTACTGGTCAAAGTGCAGCCACAGCAGCAGACGCAGCAACTCCTGCCGCCATTCGCTGCCTCAGCTGTGGCAGCAGCTGCTGCTGCTGCTGCGCAACGGTGCTGCTCAAACAAAGCCCAAACAGCAGATGCCGACTGCGATAAGCCTGCATGCAGCACCAGGGCAAGAAAGAGGTTAGCCCACGGAGGAGAGACGAGAAGAGGGAAAGCGCTGGCATTGGCTGCAGCAACTGCAGCAGCAGCAGAGGCAGCTATGCGTGAGCGCTGCAGCAGCACAGCGCAGCAAGCCGTCACATGCGATCGAGCAAACGGGAGAGCTGAAGATTCCTCATCTTCCTGCGCTGCGCTACCCTCTTCCTGCAGTTGCTGCAGCTGCTGCTTCACTTGCTGCTGCTCCTGCTGCTGCTGAACGTGCTGCTGCTGCTGCTGCTGTGGCTGCAGAGCAAAGCCGGGCGAAGCAGGGTCCAGCGAAGCAAATGAGCGATCAGAAGAGCACACTGCAACATGAAGGGCTGCTGCAGTAACTCCCCTGCCTTCGAAAGGCAACATATTGACCTGCTGCTGCTGCTGCTGCTGGCTAGAAGCACCACTGAGGCTTCCTAGCCAAGAGGCCCAAGGCCAACCAAATTCTAGCAGCGGGGAAAGCTGCGGCTGCTGCTCCCCCAGCTCCCGCTTCGACGCAGCAGATCGTGTCTCTGCAGCAGCTGCAGCAGCAGCAGTAGTAAGCTCAAGAAAAGCCCACGAGGCTGCCAGAGGCGCGTGGGTTGCAAAGGCGCTGCAGCAAGTCAGCAGAACTTTCCGTCCCTGCAGCAACAACGCTTGTGGCGAGTTATTCTTCACCTCACCACTGCTACTGCTGCTGCTGCTGCTGCTGTTGGAGGATGCAGCAGCACCACTGCTGGCGGCTGCAGCAGCCTGGAAAAAGAGAGAAGAGGCAAAGGTAAGCCACAGAGCTGGCTCTGCCTCGTTCCGCTTGAGCACCAGCCGGAAGGTCCTGCAGCAGCAGCACCAGCAGCAGCAAAAGAAAAGCAGCATGAGAGGCTGGGGCAGCAAGACAGCAAAGAATCGCGGGGGCATGCAGGAGCAGGGGCAGCAGCACGAAGCCCTCCAGCGTCTACCCTAGTAACAGCAACACTTACAACAGCAGCAACACCCACAGCAGCAGAAGGCCCTCCAGCCTCTGCCCTAGCAACAGCAGCACTAGCAACAGCAGCAGCAGATGCAGCAGCAGCGCAGCAGCTGACTTGGGGGATGGGCAGAGACACAACGCGCAGTAAAGCAGCAGGCGGTCGTCAGGAAACGCCAAAAGGGCCTAATGGAGGTAGAGAAGGCACGCAGCAACGTTTTGCTGCTTTTGCTGCTGGCACCCTATGCAGCCGTAGGAGCAGCAGCAAAGGCAGCAGCAAAAGCAGCACGAAAAGCAACGAGGCAGCAAAGGAAAGGCAGGAATCCTGGGTCACCTGTGAGCATATGAGGGCAGCCAAGGCCTGAGGAGTTGTGGCCTCTCCGACTGCTGCATCTAACAACCCCGGATCGGCTTGCTGCTGCTGCTGCTGCTGCTGTTGCTGCTGCTGCTGCTCATTCTGCAGAACTGCCCACCGCAGCAGCCCCTGAGTAGATAGCCAGCTAGTGGCGTTTCGCGTTTGCTGCTTCAGCAGCGTGGCCTCTGCAGCAGGCACCAAAGAAGGTAGCGGCCACCAAAACGAAAAGGGGACACCCCCATTGTTCCTGCTGCTGCTGCTGCTGCTGCTGCTGGGCAGTGAGTCTGCGGCCGCGAAGCGCGCCTGTTGCTGCAGCCGGAGTACAAGGGCCCTAAGCATGGCTGCATCCATTGCTGCTGCAGCTGCTGTGTCTCCCCGCTGCATGCGCGGGTGGCCTGAAGGAAACCTGTGCAAAGTGGGGGAGCACAGGGAGTCTAAAGCTCCAAGGATAATGCTGTAAGCGGGACCTGCTGCTGCTGCTGCTGCTGAAGCTGCGGATCTGACGGCTATGCGGACGCCTGGCCCTGTTCTGCTGCAGCACGAGACGCTGCGGGCAGCTGCAAAAGAGAGCACAGCATCTGCTGCAGCAAGAACTGGCTGCAGCAGCTCCCACTGCTTTGATGGCTGCATGCGGTCCCCTGAGGCGCAGTACGGCGAAGGCATCCGGAGGTCTGCTGCTGCTGCTGCTGAGGCAGCAGTTCTTGCTTCAAGGGCGGACTTCGTTGCTACTTGCGCTGCCGCAGCAGCAGCAGCTGCAGCACGCCTCATGGCTTCCATGGCAGTGAACGATGGGTCTGTCGCTGCTGCTGACGCTGCAGCACTGGCTGCTGCTGCTGCTTCTCCCACTTTTGCTGCGTCTTTAGCCGCTGCAATGGCTGCATCTGCTGCAGTCTTACCTGCAGCAGCTGCCTCTGCTTCAGCTGCTGCTGCTGCTGCTGCTGCTGCCTCGGATGTTACACAGCTCCCCGCAGTGCGGCTTCTCCACGAGCAATTAGCAACAGCAAAGTCAGCGGCAAAGTAGGCAGCGAATCCCTGCAGCTCCCCTTCCTGACTGTGGCTTGTGCTGCTGCTGCTGCTGCTGCTGCTGCTGTTGCTGCTGCTGTGGCTGCCAGCAGCTAAGCGGTCTCCTGCCGCCTGCAGCAGCTCTTCTTGCGCATCTTTTTGAGCCTCATGCAGCGACGCCACGGCTGTGTCAACAAGTTCACAGAGCTGCAGATAAACCTTAGTGACTGTGCTGCTGCCCGACAGCTGCTGCTGCTGCTGCTGCTGGAGCCTACACCCAATTTCCCCAGCACGAGACCCCTGAGATCCTTCTACTGCTGTCCAGATTTGCTGCACGACAAGCAGAAGACACAGCAAATTGAACTGCTGCAGCAGCGGCAGCAGCAACGCAGGGGTAGCCCAAGCAGCAGCAGCAGAAGCATAAGCCGCAGCAGCGTACGCTGCAGCTACATAATCATTTGCCGTCACTGAAATAGCAGCAAACGCAGCGGCGAATGTCGCGGCAGCAGCAGCAGCAGCAGCAGCAGCCCATCACAACCAAAGATGGAAGCAACAAAGAGCCATTCATACCTTTAACTGCTCTATGATTGATTCATTCGGGCGCTGGTGCTGCTGTTCCTGCTGCTGCTGCTGCTGCAGCACATGCAGCAGCGCTAACTGGACGACTGCCTGCAACGTGGCTGCTGCAACAGCCACACGGCCTGCTTTTACTTCGAGGGGCAAAATGAAGCTAAAGAGGACTTCTTGGAGCAGCGCTAAACAAGTGCGATAGTTATCTGCTGCTGGTGCTTCTGCTGCTGCAGCTGCAGATCCCGCTGCTGCCGATGACCCTGCTGCTGATGATGATCCTCTCAGAGCTTCTGCAGCAGCATGCAGCAAATCGGCAAACAGCAAGCGTGTCGAAGCCTCTGAGTACTGCGAGGAGGCAGCGGCTGCGCTGCAGAGACACCGTGCAAGCGAAAGCGTGGTCTGCGTGCTGCTGCTGCTGCTGCTGCTGCTGCTGGGGTTCAGCGAAGCATTAAGCTTCCCAATTAGTGCTGCTGTTCTCCGCCACGCCGGAGCTGTCAAGGGGGTCTTTGTCTGCAGCAGCAGCAGCAGCCGTCTGAGCACAACCACGGGCGGTGCTGCTGCTGCTGCTGCTGCTGCTGCACCCTTCTCTCGGCCGCAGGCCATGTCAAGAACATCCTGCTGCCGAAGCAGAAGCTGCTCAGGATCTGCAGCTGAGAGCAGCAGCAGCTGCTGCTGCTGCAGTAGCTGCTGCTGCAGCGCCACCAGCTGCACCCACAGCGTCACATCTTGTGGCTTTTGCCTGCAGAGCATCAGCAGCCTGTCTTGCTGCTGCAGCAGCAGCAACTCCTCTTCCTGTTGCTGCAGCAGCCTCCTTTCTTCGCGCTTCTCTGCATCCCCACTCCCCTCCTCGTCGCTGCTGCTGCTGCTGCTGTCCGCTGCAGCATGTGTCTGTGCTGCAGCATCAGCAGAAAACAGCAGCGGCTGGTCCAGTCCTTCAACATACACTGAAAACTCAGTCCCTCTCTTTCCTGTGTTGTCAGCAGCAGCAGCAGCAACTGCAGCAGCAGAAGCTGCTGCTGCTGCCTCTACTGCCTTCTTTCGGCGTCGATGCTCTACCGGGAAGGACGTGGCGGCCCCCGCGTCTGCTGCTACTGCGCTGCTGCTGGTGCTGCTGGTGCTGCCGCTGCCAGCCGCTGCTGCCTGCTGCTGCTGGGCAGCTCGCGCTGCTGCTGCTGCTGCTGCTGCCGCCTTCCTCTTGGGCCTAGCAGCTAAAAGAGGCCTCGCAGCAGCAGCACCGCTTGCATGCATGCGCTCAGAGTCCCAAATAGTTTGGGGCTTTTCGGACTTTTCCTCCAAAGCCTTCAGCTCCCTGAGAGAAAGGTGGGGCCCCCTATCAGCTGCTGCTGCAGCAAGCTGCCACCTGCTGCTGCTGCTGCTGGTGCTGCTGATGCTTGTGATGGAATCAGGACAGCTGCTGCTGCCCAAAGCTGCAGGCGGGTCGATGAGAATGACGCTGTCGTCTGAGCTGCTGCTGCTGCTGCTGCTGCTGCTGCGCCGTCTCTGCTTTGCTGCTGTTGCTGCTGGCAGCAGTTGTTTTTGTTCACGTTTCTGCTGCTGCTGCTGCTGCTTCTGCAGCCTGCGTCTCTCCCTGTATCGCCTGTAGGCCTCTGCCTCCTCCTGTTCCTGCTGCTGCTGCTGCTGTCTCTGCTGCTGCAGCAGCTGCTGCAGCTTCAGCTGCCGCCGGTGCTCTCTTTCATCTCTCTCAAGACAGATTTCTCCCCCCACTAATGCAGCTTCTGCTCTGCTGAGCTCCTCTTTTGCTGCTGCTTCCGCTTCATACTCCTGCAGCAGCAGCGGCTTCTGCTGCTGCTGCTGCAGCAGCAGCAAGTCCTCGGGCAAGCCCAAGCGCAGCAGCGCCTCCTCAGGGCGATAAGATGTGCCGCACGAAAGTCCCGACACATCTGGACCATTTTCTTGCTGTTGCTGCTGCTGCTGCTGCTGCTGCTGCTGCTGCTGCTGCTGCTGTTGCTGCTGCAGGTAATCGTCCACATAATCTGGGAAAAGGGGCCCCTCTCCGTGTCGCTTCATTGAGACAGATGCTGTGCCAACAGGAGGGGGCCCTTATACTTGGGAGCCCACAGTGCCTAAGCTGCTGCTGCTGCTGCTGCTGCTGCTGCTAGACATGAAAATGGGCCAATTGAGATTCGGGTTAAGGGGCCCCTCTGGGCGCCCTACGTGCTGCCTCGCTGCAGCACAGGCAGCCGCATAGAAGGCCTTAAGCTCTGTTGCTGGAATTGCTGCTGCCGGGGCTGCTGCGCGCCCACTCTATGTGCTGCTGACCTCGCTACTACAGCAGCGGCTGCTGCTGCTGCTGCTGCAGCGGCTGCAGTTCCCCGCACATTTAGACGAGGCGCAGCAACGGGATGGCCCATGCCGCAGCAGCAGCTACTGTTGTTTCTTGCTGCCTTGGCGAAACAGCAACGAGACCAGCAGCAGCAAACGCAGCAGCAGCAGCAGCAGCAGGTGATTCTCCTGCCTCCCTGCGGCTCAGCTCCACCGGCCCTAATTACACTATTTGTTTTACCTTTATTCTTAATTTCTGAATCAACTTTCGAAGCAGCAGTTAATACCCTTAGTAAAAGCAACTTTAGGGGCCCCTCCCGCTGCTGTGTCTGAGGGCCCCAAGAACCTGGTCAAGGGGCCCCCCCTGGGGCCTCTCAAATCCATGCTATACTTGTCCTGGTTTATTGTTTATCTTTTTGAGCATTTAAAATTAATTTTTCAGTATTTTACTTCTTTATTTTTTTAATGTTTGCACTTCTGGCTTCAATGTCAGGCTACCGGTTGCCAAGCGCAGCCTCGCCTGCAAAACTTGGAATGATTCAAGTTTTGAATTCAATGCGTAGTTACGAAATGCCTACATACAAAGTCCATCAGAATTAAAATATTTATTTTTAAATGTCACATGGACACCCGCAGAGTTCATCTGAACTAATATTTGAACTAAACTTAAATGGCCACTCCCTACACAGTCCACCCGAAATAATAAGTCCTTTGAAGTTGGTTGAAGTCTACTGGTTCTTATTGAAGTCAGCGGAGGCCCACTGCCGCAGAACAACGCGCGGAGGCCTCCATAAATGCACTTAGTGCCGCTAAAAGAACAAAAATAAAAGCATGCATTTCGCAGCGAAAAATGCATGCAAAATAGACTGGATGGCGGCAGCTGCGGCCCCAAAAGGCACATTCAGAGGCCCCTCTGCGGTGTACAGACAGCCCGCAAGTCTTCACTACGAACTTCGCGGCAAACGCAGTGTACGTACACCCCAAATACACGCACAGCAGCGCTGGGGCCTTCCGACGGCTCTCTGCTCCGCAGGCGACGCAAAACGGAAAACAAATAGACAAACTCAGACACAAATAAGCAGATTCACACAAATGAAGACACAGCTCATGTCCAGACACCAGATTTCGAGCGGGTTGCGGTGTACAGACACCGCAAAAACCCCGCGCACGAGACCCCCCCTTAGGTATGGTGAGGCGGGCCTCATCATTTAGTACTTAGAAGTCAACAGAGAATCATCATATAGTATTTCATATGTCGGAAGAGATACAAACCAGCAGGGGGGGGGCGCTGTGGGCCCCTGTGGGCACCCCCCTCAGGCGGCTTCAGCGCCCTGAGGGGCCCCTAGGGGGCCCCTAGAAGTAGGGGGCCCTGGGGGGCCCTAGGGAGCCCTAGGGGGCCCTTGGGGGCCTCTAAAGAACTTTAGGGGCCCCTAGAGTCCTGGGAGCCCCGTGGGGGCCCTGGGGGGCCCCTGGGGGCCCCTTGTTGCTCTTCAAGAGCTCCGCGAGGACTCTGTCTTCTGCTCGTGTAGATTTTGGAGCAGCAAATCAAAGACATAAGGAGCGGGGACCACCATAAAGACACTGGCAGCCTCTGCGGGGTCATAGGGGCCCTCGGGGCCCCCCGAAGGAGTGGGTTTTGTCGAGACCCTCACGGAGGCCCCCGCGAGCCCCGCAGCAAACCTCGCCATATCCTGCAGCAGCAGCAGCAGTAGCAGAAGCAGCCACAAGCCCAGTCCATGTTTGCACCCGTGCAGAATAAACAAATCCATTTGCAGGATTTTCGCATGTGTCTGCTCTAAAGACGGAAATGGAAGCCATGTACGCATGCAGTTGAGGTGTACTGACACCCCAGCCTCACCTCGGGGGTCTTTAGGGGCCCCTCTCCAGGCCTACTTCGAAGCAGGCAAATGCCCCCCCCCACTGCCTCTTCAAAAGCCAAAACAACTCCAATTTCTTTCCACTCTGAGACCCTCCCAGGGGCAGCCCCGGGGACTTGCTTCAGGACAAGGGCCCCGGGGCCTACGCTGTACCCTTTCGGCAAAGGGGCCCTCTCCCCGTCCTCTTGGGGGCCCTCATGGGGGCCCCCTTGGGGGCCCTTGGGGGGCCCCCCGGGGGTTTGCTGGGCCCCCACCACACCGCTGGCAGCCGCGCGGAGGGCCTCCAGCCACCAGCTGAAGACTCTGGCTGGGATCGTCGTCTCCAGAGAAAGGGCCCCGGGGCCCACAGGGGGGCCCCCCGCAGCCCCAGCCTGTACCTTTGCGGGGGCCCCCAGGGGCCAGGGGGGCCCCCGCAGCAGCAGCGCCAGCCTCCTGCGGCTGGCCAGCTGGTGCAGGGCCCGCGTAAGGACTTCTTGGCCTATGTAGCAGCCTTTGTTTTGCAAAGATAGAAATCCCAAAAAGTCCATATTTATTGATAATGGAAGAGCGTCCCCGACTCCGACTTCCTGGGGCCCCTCGCAGACGCCCACGAGGTGTCTGTACACCTCGTACTCGCGCCCCTGCTGCTGCCCGGCGCAGTGCTGCTGCGCCGCGGGCTCGCGCGACTGCTGCTGCTGCTGCGCTGCTGCTGCTGCTGCTGCTGACGGAGAGTCCGCCTCTTCTGCTTCTTCAGCCCCAGCAACTAGGGGCAGCGAAGCAGCTAAAGCTGCGCAGTCCTCTTGAGGGGCTTTTTCTTCTTCGGGGGGGCCCCACAAGTTGCGGTGTACGTACACCCGGTGCCCCAGACGCCACGTGCGCGGATCTGCAGCAAAAAGGCCCTCGGTCCAGCGGCCTGGTGCTTCCTCCCCTTCGACGGGGTTTGCTGCTGCAGACGCTGCTGCTGCCGGGTCTGCTGCTGCTGCTGCTGCGGCTGCGTCTGCTGCAGCACTAATGCTTGGGTGTTCTATGTAATGAAAGAGCTGCTCCCCCGCACTTGGGCAAATTGCAAAATCATAAAACTCCTGAAGAAGGGCCTCGGGGGGTCTGTCTTTAGGGGGCCTCCTGGCAACACAGGGGCCCCAGCCTCTGCCTTCCTGCTGCAGCAGCAGCGAGACGCGGGGGGGCGGCAGCAGCTGCAGCGCAGCAAGAGAGGGCTCCTCGCCGAAGGATACGTTGAAGGAAATTGCGTGCCGCTGCGCAGCCACACCGTGCAGCAAACGCAGCTGCTGCTGCTGCTGCTGCTGCCGCTGCAGCTACGGAATGCGGCAGCAGCAACGGCACTGGCAGCAGCAACAGCAGCAATCTGTAGAAGGAGACGCAGATGCAGCAAACGTTACGGCGGCACAAGCAGCAGCATGGGCAGCAGCAGCAGCAATTATTCGACAGAAGCAGCAGCAACAGCAGCAGCAAAGCCGGCAGCAGAACTAGCAGCAGCGGCAGCAACTGCAGCAGCAACTGCATAAATAGAAAAGAATAAAACAAATAAAAGAAATAAATAAAACAATTAAAAACAATTAAAAACAATTAAAGATAAATAAAAGGCAAAGAGCAGCAAACCTCCAGGTAAGTCAGCAGACGCCCGCAAACAGGAAGCCCCACATCCAGCAAAAAGCGGGGGTGCCCATCTTTGGAGTCTCTGCAGCAAAACAGAAAAAATAATAAGAATTAATTTCCATTTTTGCCGCTAAAGAAGTCTTTTACGCGTCTGCCTGCTGCTGCTACAGGTGCTGCTGGGCTGCAGCAGCAGCAGCAGCTGCGACGGGCGCAGCAGCAAACGTCGCGGCGGCAGCAGCTGCAGCAAATGCAGCAGCAGCAGCAGCAGCTTCGAGAGCAGCAGCGGCAGAGGCGGTGGTGGCATTCAAACAAGCAGCACGCGTCGCGGCAACCGGCGCACTGATAGCAGCAGCAGCAGCAGCTGCTGCTGCTGCTGCTGCTGCACCTGGAAGCTGACCTCCACAATATTAAGGCATCCGCAAGTACTCGGCCCTTCGCATTTAAGAACGCAGCAGCAATAGCAGGCCGCCTCCAGAGGCGCAGCTGCTGCACCCTGCTGCTGCTGCTGCTGCAGCTGCTGCTGACGAGAAAGGACCGGGGAGGCAGCAAAAATGGCATTTCGCAAACACTCCCCTGCTGCTTCTCTGCTGCAGTTACCTGCAAACGCGTGAGGGGCCCCTGGGGGCCCCCCGGGCCCAACGCTGCAGTGGCCCGGGGACCCAGGAGTGGGGCGAAGCAGCGCATGTCTTGGGAAACGAGGCCCTGCAGCAAACTGAATTAAAGCAAAAAAGGATAAAAAATAAATAATTAAAATGCTTTTTAATCCGAAATAATAAAAGAAACACGCAGCAGCAGCAAGGGGGGGAAAAAACACACAAAAAGCTGCGAAGAAGCAGCAGCAAATTTGAAAAGTTAGTTTTGACAAAAGACTACCATAAGTGCAGCAGCAAATAAAAAAGAAGTGACAAATAAATGCAAATTAAAATTAATTTAAACTTACGAAGCAGCATCCGGGCCAGACACAGACAGCAGCCGCCTGCTGCTGACTGCAGCAAGAATGCCTTGCGAGCTGCTGCGCAGCCAGCGCCTGGAGAGGCTGGGGGCCCCCAGGGGGCCCCTCCACAGGGGCCCCAGGGGCCCCAGGGTCCCCCCCAGGGGGCCCCCCAGGGGCCCCCCCAGGGGCCCCCAGAGCCCCAGTTTCATCTCTGGCCCCTCGGCGAGGGCTGGGGCCTCTCGAGAGGCCTCTGGGGTCGCTCAGCTTTTGCCTATCCCACGGGCAGCAGCAGGTACAGGCAGCAGCAGCGAAGTCGAAGCTGCACCAGCGAGAAAGGCGGGTCAAATTGAGAATCTACGGGTCAAATTAGGGGAAAAAGAACCCAAATGAATCCAAAATGATTCTGTTTACACTTTCATTCGTGTAGAAACAAACTAAAAGGGGATAACAGAGAAGCTGCTCCTGGCAGCAACGCCTCATCACTGCAGAGGCGCCGGCAGCACACCAGAACCTGCAGCAGATTTAGCTGTTCCTACACTGCAAATAAACAAGAAAGTCAACAAATTTATTATTTATTAAACGTTCATAATTATCTAAAGTCTGAACTCCCCAACCTATCCGCAGACAGCGCTGCTGCAGTCAGCAAAGCGCGGGGGCCCCCAGGGGCCCCAGAGGCCCCCAAGGACCGCAGAACTAGAGTTACGCTCTCTAGAGTTGGACAAAGAGTGAAGCGAGGACTCATTGTTGCGTTTTATTTGCTTTTACATATTAAATTGCAATTAATTTTGGTATAATTTTTGTTCAAGCAGCAGATCCGTAGGCTGATCGCTGCAAGACTTGGGGGCCCCCCCTGTTGAGCTGAGACTGCGCAGCGTCCGGGGGCCCCCCTAGATCTCATCTAGCGCCTCTTTAGTCCCCAAGTTTCTTTATTTTAATCTTATTTATACTTCAGAGGGGCCCCAAAAATGCTGCCAGGAGGCCACCAGCCCTCCAGGCCCGGTAGATCACGCCCCAAGAGGTCACCTGCCTTTGAAGGGGCCCCAGGGGAGCCCTGGGGCCCCCCGCAGCACTCAAGGCGAAGGCAGTAGAGCCGAGAAGGTCTTGACGCCCTCTGGGGGGCCCCCAAGGGTTTAAGATCGGCAGGAGGCCCCCTGCGTCGCAATGGGGGCCCCCCGAAAGGTTCTTTTTCTGTATTTTCTAGTCCAAATAACCCTAATAGGGGTCCTCGGGGCCTTTGCCCAGTCAAGGGGGCCCCCTTTGCAGGAGCCCGCGGCGGGCCTGAGATGCCTCTCGTTCCTCCGCAGGTCATTCACGGGGGGGCCCTCCCTCCTATTCAGGGGACGCCGCAGGGGCCCCCTTGGGTGGGTGGGGGCCCCCCTTGGGGCCCCCCACCCACCTCTCAAGGCCCTTGAGCTTCCTTTGAGGGCAGCAGGGGCCCCTGGGGGGCCCCCCTTTCCGGAGGGCCTGGGGGCCCCGGGCAGTGGGGGCCCTGGGGGTCTGCGGGGCCCCCCAGGGTCCATTAAAGGGGAGCAGCACTCCATAGATTCCGTTAATAGGGGCCCCTATTCCTTTTCCTGGGGGCCCCAGAGGCAGCCCAGGGGCCCCAGGGGCCCACCCAAGGAGCGTCTTGTGAAGGCGGGGGGCCCCCAGGGCCCCCCAGCCTTCAGGGGCCCGGAGCCCCGGGGGGGCCTCTCATCAGGGACAAAACCCTCAAGCAGACAAGTCTCACTCAAGAGTCCTCTGCGAGAATCCCCAGCAGCAGCAGCAGCAGCAGCCCCCCAAGGGCCCTGGGGGGCCCTCTTGAGCCCCAAAGGACCTCCCGCCGACCCGCCACCTGCAGGAGCAGCAGCAACAGCAGCAGCAGCAGCAGGCACCGCAGCAGCTGCAGCCAAAGCAGCAAGAAGCAGTGCAGCAGCCCGGCCCTTGCTGCCGCCGCGTGCCATGGGGCGGGGGCCCCTTTGGCGGCCCCCCACAGCCTCTGGGGATCGCGATCCCAAGGATTTGAGAGAGGGCCTCGAGGTCAAAGCTGCATGCATTCGAGTGTGGGGCCGCTACGCGCTGCTGCGGCTGCTGCCAGAAGACTGCAGGCCCTTAGAGGGGCCCAGGGGGCCCCCGGGGGCCCCCCGGGGGGCCCCACAAGAACCTCTTGGGTTTCTTCATGTGTCCGAGCTAAAGAGGGGAGGAAGGCCCTTAACTGCTGCTGAACTTAGAACCATTGACCTCACTGCAGTCAGCCAGCGCCTCGCTGCTGCTGCTGCACTTGCTGTTGCTGCTACTGCTGCTGCAGTTGCTGCTGCCGTTGCACCTGCTGCTGTTGCTGCAGCGGCCGTTATTGGCAGGGCCCGTTTTGGCCTGGCAGCAGCCTGTGCCTCTTACTTGCTGCTGCCGTCTGCTTCCCTGTACTGCTGCCGCTCCCGCTGCTGTTGCTGCATTTGCTGCTGCTGCTGCTGCTGCTACTGTTCGTGTATCTCAGATCTTGTCAGTGGGGGCCATTTGCAAGGTGGTGCTTTTGAAGGCCCCCACTGCCGCCACTTTCCACAGATGGCAGCTTTCCCTGGCTTTGCCAGCAGCCGTGGGGGCCCCCCAGGAGGCCCTAATGAAGAGCCCCCAGAGAGCTTCTCAACCTGCTGCTGCTGCTGCTGCTGCTGCTGCTGCTGCTGCTGCTGCTACTGCTGCCCCTGCAGCAGCAGGGGCCCTCGACTCTGTGCCCCTGGAGCCGCCTGGCGTAGGCGACGCTGCGCTGGCGCTGCCGGACGAAGCTGAGGGGGCCCCTGATGAGGGGCCCCTGCTGGTGGATGTGGGGGAGGGGGGTCTGGAGGGGCCCCCCGGGGGCCCCCTGGGGGCCCCCAGCAGCAGCAGCAGACGCCGCAGCAGCTGCTTCTCAAGAGCAGCAAAGGGAGGGGGGCCCCCAGAGAAAGGCGGGGGGCCCCGTGGCCCCAGGTCGGGGGGCAGCCGCAGGGCCTCGAGAGAAAGAGAAACAAAATCTGAATTAATTTCAACAAATGAAGAAGCAGAAGAAGAGGCCCTTTTAGAAGCTGCTGGAGTCTTCGGCAGCAAAGGCAGCAGCCGAAGTCCTAAACTCCCCCACCAGCCTGCAGCCCCGAAGCCTGGGGAGCGGGAGGCAGCAGCAGCAGCAGAGCTAGCAGCACCAGCAGCAGCAACAGAGCTAGCAGCACCAGCAGATGCAGCAGCAGCAACAGAACTAGACGCACCAGGAGATGCAGCAACAGCAACAAAGCTAGCAGCAGCAGCAGCAAGAACAACAACAGAGCTACAGGCACCAGCAGAAGCAGCAGCAGCAACAGAGCTAGCAGAGCTGGCAGGAGCAGCAGCACCAGCAGGTGCAGCATCACCAGCAGGTGCAGCATCACCAGCAGGAGCAGCAGTGCCAGAAGGTGCAGCAGCAGCAGCACCAGTACCATCACCACCAGGAGCAGAAGAAGTCGGAGAAGCAGCAGGAGCAGCAGCGCCAGCAGGAACAGCAGGATTTGGAGAAGCAGCAGGTGCAGCAGGAGCAGCAGAAGGAGCAGTAGCGTCTCAGTCAGAGGCAAACAGAGCCCCGTTGCTACAGGCAAAGGGAACAGGAAAGGGGCGGGGGCCCTTCACCAGCCGGGGGGGCTCCTTTGCTACTTCGCTGCAGCAGCAGCAGCAGCAGCAGCAGCAGCAGCAGCCCCGGCCAGCAGTAGTGGCAGTGCTGGGGCATGTAGACCACGGCAAGACGACGCTGCTGGCCGCCCTGAAGCTCATGGGCCAGGGCAGGGGCCCCTTTGCCCCAGCCAGCAAAGACAAGGGCCCCCGGGGGGCCCCCCGGGGGGTCCCCGGGGGGCCCACCAGGGGGGCCCCCCTGGTGAAGGAAGCTGGCGGGATCACCCAGCGCATTGGGTGCTTTGAGGTAAGGGCAGGCACTTAATAGAATCAGGAGGAATCATAAAAGAACAGAAAAGTTTAGAGAAATAAATAAATCTATTCTGAAGCTGCTGGAAATGAATTAAAAGATAGAAGAAGCAGACAGCCAATAGGGAAAAAAGCAGCGAATGACAAACAGACAGATGCATTCTCCGATCTCAGTGCTGCTGCTGCCGCTGCTGCTGCTGCCGCTGCTGCTGCTGCCGCTGCTGCTGCTGCTGCTGCCGCCGCTGCTGCTGCTGCTGCTGCTGTCCAGGTGCCGCTGCCGGAGTCTGTGTCTGCGTCTGCGCCTTACGTCACTTTTCTGGACACTCCTGGCCACGCAGCTTTTTCGTGCATGCGTCTTCGTGCTGCGCGAGCAGCAGACCTCGTGCTGCTGGCAGTAGCAGCAAACGAGGGGCTGCAGCAGGAAACAAAAACCTGCATTGAGGTATCCAAACCCTAACTCTCGAGCCCCCAGCCCCCAACTAACAAGCCAGCAGCTGCAAGGGTACAGCTTTGGGGGCCCCCGCCAACGGGGGGCCCCTAGACTGGGCTCATTAGGGTTTAGGGCACAAGTCCCAGAAATTGAAATTTAGGGTTTTGCGGCTAAGAGGATTATGTTTATTGACTTGAGTCTTTTCTCCCAGGCGTGCAAGGAGTTGAAAAATCCCCTCGTTGTTGTCATCACCAAGACTGACTTGGTGGAGAACCCTTTGGGGGGCCCCCCTGGGGCTTTTTCGGGGGGCCCCCCGGGGGCCCCCGGGGGCCCCCTGGTGAGCAGCGACTTCGTAGATTGCCCAGCAGGCGCGAAGGTCCTCGCAGAGCTAGCTGCTGCGGGCCTGCTGACGGAGCCCTTGGGGGG